TAGGACAGATGCAAGAAAGTGCTTCTTCACACAACATAAAATTAAACTAAACTATTGAGTTCACTGCTACAAGAAATGGTGATGGCCAACCATCAGGTGGTTTTAAAAGGGGATTGGGAGGAGATTTATGAGGGAGGAGGCTCTCAGTGGCTACTCGCCTTGCTGGCTGTGCGCTACCCCCTTGACCAGAGGCGGCGTGCCTGCACACACCAGTTGCCGAGGCGCTCGGGCAGGTGGAGGTCTTGCACCCATCCTGCTCGAGGGCTCCTGTGGGCAGCTGCTGTGCCATTGTGTGTAGGGAGTGCCAGGCCAGATGGACCTTTGGTCTGCTCCTGCTTGGCTTTTCTTATGTTCCAATGTCCTCAGGGAATGATCTCAAATATCAAAAGAATGGGAACTGAATCTGAGAGTCATGGATCTCACTGAAAGTTCTTTCTCTATCCAGACAAAGAAATCATCACATCCCATTGCTTATGAACTGTTGTGCTGCTATCAAAGCAAAATTCACCATCCAGACAAACACATCCTGAAGCTGATTGTTTGGAAGATTCAGAGCTAAAGGCTGTTGTGACTTACCTGTCAAGCTTCACTCTGCCCTTGAGAGAGCAAGAACGCCTGCACATGACTCGAGTATAGTAGAAAATGGAAGTCCTTTTCATCTTTGCTGCTAGGGCAGGATCTGATCCGGTCCAATGTTGAATTTGTCCAGTTGTGCAGTTCTTGCTTTATCTCTTTGAGAAAGGTCTCAAATGTTCATCTCTCCAAGTGCACCTTACAGCTATGTCAGCTTACCATTTTCCAATGCAAGGCTTCTCCCTGGGTTACGAATGATTTCTGGTCTGGAGAACATCTTTAAGTCAAATTTGTATGTAAGTTGGATCACATGCATACAGATTGTATTTAGCATGACTAAGTCAAATGTTGGTCTTAGTATATGTATATATTTTACCTTTCTATGCATATAAAACAAGAAACATTTCTATATATGGTTGGCCTGCTACATTCGCAGGGGTTAGGGCCACAGCACCCCTGCAAAAGTTGAAAAACCATGAATAGCCCCCACCAAATCTTAACGCAGTAATGTTGACAATACATGCACTGGATTGCTGCCCGCACCTCCTGAGCTTGGTCTGATCCAGCAGGCCCCTCTTCTTCACTTATTTCATTTTTGTGTTCTTATCCCCCCCCCCCTTCACTCACCTGCGCCTCCCCTTTGCACCAAGGAAATGCTGGCAGGATTTTCCTCCCCAAATGGGCAGAGCAGGAAAGCCCGCTTCAGAGACCTCCCTCTCTCCCCTTTCTCTTCCCCTCTCCCTATGGTGATGACAAGTTTCTGCAGTAGGCCATGGAAACTAGTTCACATTCATTATTATGAACTGTTTGTCTTTACCTCAATTATGTAAATTAATAGGCCTTATGGCAGATAATTCATAAGTAGGGGTGTCCGTAACTTGGACATTCATAACCCAGGGACTGCTGGTACTCACTCATCCTTTCTACAACAACTTCATTTTAAAAGTAAGGAATGTTGCGCCTCCAGTGTGATCCCCTGTACCTACGCTGGAGCATTGTGAGTTGCCTTGTAGGATTTTACAAGGAAACCCTTAAACCACTTGCTACAATTGATTTCCTTTGGCAGTCTTGAAAAGTGCCCTTTCTCATTCCTCGCACATCAGCTTGTAAAGCTAGGGAGCTTTGTGCTCTCCAAATAGACCCACCTTATTTGATTTCTCAAAAAGATATGACAATGCTGTGTCTGGACATTTCTTCCCTTCCAGAGGTGGTGTCAGGCTTTCACCTTAATCAGGATATTATACTACCGGCATTCTTCTCTGCACCAACTTGACTCCACGAGTTCACTTTGCGTGCGCTCAGGGTCAGATGGGCCCTTCCATCCTACAAGGCCCACATGGAGCCTTTTCATAGGTCATAACAACTCGTATGCTGAGGAACACCAGAGTCTTGCCTGCCTCAGCAACTGGCATCATGGCTGCTCCATTCAGTTACCCTGGATGATCAGTTCAGGGAATTGGAACTTGCAAGTTTGCCCCGAAACCATTTTACCCATGGAGTTTCAGCTTTGGTTACATTCAGGTAAGACACTCCACTTATGAGAACTGTATCAGGCAGTGAGAGATGGGATTCTTCCCTTATCCGGTGCTATAGGCGGGACATTGATGCAAAAGCTGACTGGTTTTGTGGAAGAGGACAGCCTCCCTCCCTTCTCTGATAAGTTAGCTTGCTTGTTGTTGATGTGCGCAGTACACACAAACCATGAAGAAAGTACAACAGGTTGTTTACCTGTAATTGTAGTTCTTCAGGTAGTCGCCCATGCATTCTCACAACCTGCCAACCACCCCTACTTTGGTGCTCATGCTCATATTTGTACTTCACATGGGTGCTTACACATGGGCGCTTACGCGGAAGGGGCCTGCCCTGCACCTGTTGGGACAGCTTTGCCCACAGAGGGCAGTGGCACAAAAGGAGTGACTCCCAAGGCAGTCGCCCAAGGCTGCCTCCACGTTAGAGCCCTTCCGTGTTGCTCTTTTGTAATATGTGGGGAGCAGTGTTAGAACGGGGCCCCCACAACGCACAGCAGGGTGCCGTGCGGCCCAGCAGCACCTGGAGTCTTTCTAGGAAATTTCCTCAAAACTGCATCCCATTCCTAAAGGTCCCTTCCAAAGTCAAGGAATACTTTCCCATTTGTAGGTCCTACCTATTTTAGCATTTCCTCGTAATCATGGCTGCTGGATTAATTATGACTAGCCAGTAATTGCCCCCTGAATAACCTCTGCTAATTGCTCCAGGATCTGTTTCGGTTCCTGCAGGATGGAGGGTGGTTTTCATTACTTGTCTCTTTGCAAGTAAATACGTACTTGAAGACTCCCTGTGACCCCAGATGAAGAGAAATTGGCCTTGGGCCACTGAAAGGGCAGTCACCAGGCTAGTTATCACAAATGCCCCCACTGTGATCTACAGGCGGCAGCAGCACATACCTGCAAACAGGAAACTTAATTAAAGGCACAGTAGCCCACAAAGTCTCAAGAAGCTTAACCTGTCCACATTTGACAAGCTGGCACTCCTACTTTGTTCTACTGGGTGGAAAAAATAATCATGACTCTGATAAGAAAAAATACAGGAAAACAGCGTGGAAGACACCAGACTGCAATGATTTGACAATGGCATCAGCTATGGAAGTTTCCCAAAATGAAGATCCCCACAGCTGCAGAACCCTTAAGTGTCATGCAGCGAGACCAGAAAGAACTATGTATTGTTCTCTCACACTCTCTCTCTCTTCCTTTCTAACAAGGATCTAGGAAGAGCCCTGCGGGATCAGAACAAGGGTCCATCTAGCCCAGTTTTCTGTTCCCACAGTGGCCAGCCAGTTGCCCATAGGAAACCTTCAAGCTGGACATGCGCTCATGTGTGTGGGTGTGTGTATTAGAAAACTTTTTTAATTTCTTTCTCTTTTTTTTACATGAATAAAAGTCCATTTCAATGGTGGTTTAAATAAAGTGTTTTACTTTTCATTTCAGGGTGATGTGGCTTTTAGATGTGATCCCTGCTAGAAGCCAAGACAGGGGTAGTAGAATGAATATACAAGTTTCTAATAGCATTCCGATGCAGGTCTGACGTTCAAAAGATGGCTGCACTTTGGTCAAGAGAGTTGTTGCCATTAGTGCACATAAGCAAGTGTGGTTCCTTACCGCAGTCCTCTTGCTTTCCCACCCATGCCCCCTCCAGCTGCACGGAGCAAGTCCTGGAACTGTTGCTCCTGCCATGAGAAAGGTCTTGCTGGATCTGACCAAAGCTATCTAGTTCTGCTTTCTGTTCCCACAGGGACCAAACACAAGGGCTAGGCCTAATAGCACCATTCTTCTAATCTCCACCACTTGATTGTTTTCCCCCTCATTCCCTGACGGCATGAGATCGTAATACCACAAAGGAAGCATGTGGACACCCCACTTACTTTGTCATGGCCAGGACTGCATATATGCTTGGTGCTGAAGCATAGCAAAAACATTGAGGTTGGTGTCTGGTACAGGGTTTGAGGTCCTGAAAATATCAGCCTCGTTTTTGAAAAGATCAAGGGTTAGATCCAAGATCTACTTTCCACAGGAAGAAGGCAGTGTCTTTTAACTCCCTGTACAGCATTTTCAGACAGCTAGAGGGTCTACCATGGGTGGGAGGCGGGGAAGTCCACTTCTACAAGGCTGATCCAGGTTCAATCTGAATTTCTGTCTCGGTTTCTAGCCTGAACGTAAGAGAAGGTTGCCAAGAGATAACCCTCCTAGCTGCCAGGGAGGAGCTAACTAGGCCTTCCAAAAGTTGGGTGGGGGGGTGTCTCATTTTATTGTCCTGGAGATGCCTTGGGTTGGATTTCAAGACCGTTGTTCCACCAGTAGAATAGATGACCTGCTGGAAGGAGGCTTCTCTGTCCTCTCTTTCCCCCTGCACATTCTCTAAATCTCTTGCAGGTGCTGGGGAACCCTCCCAAATAGATTTGGAGGGAGGGCTGCAGGGCAAGTAGGAGAAGGTGTTGCACAAGCTGTATCCATTCGACTGGCGGAACAACAGTGTTAGATCTTTCCTCCCTACCCCAGCCAGAAAGGCTGCCTTCAGTTGCTTTTTTCTACTTCAATTCTTCCAGTGGGTTCCAAAAGATTTGAATCAAAGTACCTGAAAACAAGGATAAATATGTGCACGCCTGCAAATCGCTCTCTCCCCACCCACACCACTCCTGTGGTCTTTGTAATGAAGGATTTGGGTTTGTTGCTTTATTTAGATACTTATTCGTTGGCCCAGCACATCCCTGGCTGTAGCATGTGGGACACTCCTCTGTGCACAGCCTCACACCAAAAGAAGGTGATTGTGGCTTGGAAGAGCCATGGGGCCGGCTCGTCCCAGCCCCTTTGAAGGGGAAGGAGGAGCGGGTAACCTGCCACGCATCGTGGCATCCTGGGCCTGCAGTCAGCCTTTCCCCCCTTCTGTCTCCGCAGGGCAACCAGGACGCCACGGCTCCGCCTGACGCAATGGCCCAACCCTACCCCCCAGCCACGTACCCACCGCCTCCGCAGAACGGCATGCCCGCTGAGTACGCGCCTCCGCCGCCGCCGCACCCGCACCCAGCACAGGACTACTCGGGGCAGAGCACAGTCCCCGAGCACGCCCTGACTCTCTACACGCCAGCACAGAGCCACGCGGAGCAGCCAGGCACCGATGGCAGCGCGCAGCCCATGGCGGGCACGCAGACGGCAGCGGTAAGCGATGCCGCACGGAGGCTGCCTGGGAGGGGCAGCAGGCGAAGGCTGCGTGAGGGACCTGCCGGTCAGGAAGGGCAGGCAGGGAGTGAGCTCCGCAGCCGGAGGGTGCAAAGCAGAAGCAAAAGAGTGAGAAACCCCGGCACAAAATGAAGTCTCAGTTGGGGAGATGCGGGGGGGGGGCTCCAAGGGGGAGATCAAGGCAGCAGATCTGACCTCTTCCTCCCCTCCCAGGTGCTGGCCTCACCCCAACCCAGATTAGAGCTGCCAGGTCCTGCAAGGACCAGAGTGGGGCCGGGCCAGAGGAGCAAGATGCTTGTGCGGTGGGAGGCCGTTGCAGGGCCCCGTTGCCCCCCTGGGTCTTTGTGGCTCAAGGCTTAAGTTTCCTGGCTCCCCTCATGTCCCTAATCACTTGTAATCTACCTGCTTGGCCGTGTGCCAATCCCGTCGTGCCAGTGATGTGGTTGTAATGCAGCTCAGCCAGGAAGCGCTGAGTGAGCATTTTCCAGCTGCTCTCCAATCCCCGAGTGCCAGGCTGGCTGCTGGCCACCACACAGCTAGGAGAGCAAGCCCTTCTGTCCCCCCACATGGCTGTGCACAGGCAGGCCCATGTGCCACACCAGGGCCGAGCCAGCCCCTGTCAGCCCTTTCTCCCCTTCCCGGGGTGAGTGCTCACACCAGCTCTTCCCTTCTGTGCCACAGATCCGCCCTCCATTATCCTCCCCGTCTTGTGCTTTGGGAATCCGAGGTTAAAAGAGGGCGGCTGCTGGAAGGCTAGAGAGTAAATGAAGGGAAGCCATAAAATTCAGTGGAGGGCCCCCTCATTCAGAGCTCCCATTTTAGCCCCTTTGCTGCCTCCATGTGCCACCCGTTCACACACACGTGCAGCTCTCAGCCAGCCACCCAGAGCGAGGCTGGGCAGCCAGATGCAGGCCTCGGCCTAACTTCGTGCAGGTGAGGGAAGCCCTATGGGAGAGAAGAGGGGCGGGAGGTGGGGCGGGAGATGCAGCAGCGGGAAGCTGGGTGGTTGGCGGGATGGAGATCACACCACTGGCTGCCAGAGGCATAGCAGGAAGGAGAGACAGACTGAGCGGGGGGGGGGGGGGTACCCTCTGCTAGTCATCAGTCTGGATTTCTGGCAAGAGCAATCATGTGGCCCTTGGCATGGGGGGGGGGGGGTTGCCCATCCTGGCCTGCAGCATTCCCACCCCTGGGAAAGGCTTCCCCTTTGGCTTGAGCAGGCGCCACTTCCCAGCCGCACTGGCCTCATCTCTCCGCGATCGGCCTTCTTTAAGGGAAAGTGAGAGAGAGCTTGCAGCCATGGTGGAGACACTGCTTTCTTTCTTTCCCCCAGCAGACGGATGAAGCGGCACAGACAGACAACCAGACGCTACAACCGCCAGAGAGTGGTTCTGACAAACAGCAGCCTAAACGGTTACATGTTTCCAACATCCCTTTTCGCTTCCGGGACCCTGATCTGCGGCAAATGTTTGGGGTGAGTCCATCCCCTCCCAAACATGCCCCCCACACACACACACGTATGGGGTCCCACATATGCTAGTGGTACAGGCAGAGTTTATTTGGTCCACCTCTGGGATCGAGTGTCGCTGCCAAGCCTGCCTCCCAGCCGTGCCTCTCCAGCACCCTCCATGCAGCTCCCTCAGGAGAGCCCATGTGGGCAGAGCGCAGGCCAGCCTCTCTCCCGCGCTCTCAGCTTCTGGCCAAGTCACACCTGGGCAGGAGCTCCCTCCTTTGCTCTCTAACGGCAAGTGCACTGCAGATCCTCTGACCCCAGGGGGGACCGGCGCGAGGGGCCTGCCATTAGGACAGAACACCCCTGCAGGGAGACACACGAGGAGGCAGGTCCAAGGCCATTGCCTACCAACCAGTCAAAAACCGCAGGCCTTCTCATCCTCACATGCCTGCTGCAGTGTCTCTGCCCCCCAGGTCTATTCCTGAGGGTGGGGGGACCCTCTGAAGCAGATGTGAAGGCTCTGTGGTGGGGGCTGCAGCAGGGAAGAGAGGACAGGGGAGTCCCATTCTGCCCCGGTGGAACAGCGGCCTGGGACCCAGCACAGGACAGTGGGCTGCTGTAGGGCCTCTCCTTGTGCTTCTGTGCTCCTGGGTCCTCGTGGCCCATGCAGGAACGAGTGGCAGGCCCCAACATCTGGGACTGGGGTGGTCCATCCCACCGCTTCCAGAGGTTGCTTGGCACACAGTGTCTCTTCAGAGTAAATCAAGACATGAAGGGCTCCTCATATTTCTAAGCTGGGGTGGAAAGGGAACGATGATTCTACTTCCATTTTCACCTGCCCTTCTCCCTCCTCTTTTTCCCCTCTACCAGCAATTCGGAAAGATCCTGGATGTGGAGATCATTTTCAATGAGCGCGGCTCCAAGGTAGGTTCAACATGTTGACGTCTTACACAACCCAAACTTCAGAGTAAGTGCATCATCCCGGGGGCCAGCCTAACACTCCGTTCTTCACTGCTGCTCTCCCTGGATTCCTCGCCATTCTTTCTGTGCCTTAAGTTGCCTGAGAGCTTACAGAGAGTTCCAAGCCACCCCTTCCCTCCACCACCTGAACTGTCCAGCAATGCTCTTGGAATCCAGTGCTGCTGTTTAGCTTCCCAGCAGAGGGCACAGAATGGCGCCACTTCCCTCCGCTCCAGCTCCAGCCTCCACACAGCTGGTGCTCTCCAGGTGTTTTGAATGGCAGGTTTCATCAGCTCCTGCTAGTATGGCTAATAGTCAGGGAAGATAGGAGCTATAGTCCATGTCATCAGAAGGGCACCAGGCTGAGGAAGGCCACCATACATATGCTTAATTTACAGTGAACTATATGCAAATGACATTTATGACAATAAAAGCAGGAGCCACAAATCTCTGGCTCAGGCAATTTAGTGCAGGAAAAGAACACCCTCTCATGGTGAAATCAGAAATCACTCTGTTGAAAAAGAGAAAATTCTATATTAAAGAGACTTGCTACAAAGGTTGGGAGGAGACACAGTGGGCATGGTTAAATGGCTTTCTCTTTAGGCGCCCAAAGACTGAGTCAACATCACTAGAATTTTGTTTCCAGGAGAATGGAAGAACACAGAGTTTGATAGGATTCATAATTGTTTTCAGCCCTAAAGAAGGACGCCTTCATTTGTTTGTGATATTTATATACCACTTAACTATAATGAAATCCTTAAGTGGTTCACAGACAACTTTTGCTGAGTTTCTCCAGGCCCTGCCATCTGTTCCAGTGTTAGAGGCAAAGCAGACTGTAACATGGGAAATCCAAGGTTAAATCCCCCAGCATCTTTTTCAAAGCATCCATTCAGAAGTAGAGGTGTTGGAGCAGGCACTGGGGTGGGGGGAGATGTTCAGCCCCTTCCCCTGCTACAGTGCTTTCCTGATTCAAATCACTGCTCACACCCGAAGCCAGTGCGAGCCTCGCTGGGGGATAGGACGATGGGATAATCGAGCTATTCAGTTGCTGAAATGGCACGTGGAGGAAAGAGTTATCCAGTAATGCATCCTGATGAGTCCCCAGCTGATCTTAAGCGCTGAAAAAGAAAGTGGGAACATTGCATTGTTGACACTGACTGGCAGTGGCTCTCTGCAGCTTCCGGCAGAAGATTTTCCAGCCCCACCTGAAAATCCCATGGACTGAATCTGGGACTTTCTGCATGCAGAGCAGGTGTTCCACGGAGCTATGCCCCTGGGAGTGCTGAGTCCTGGACCTCTCGCCTCACAGTCTGATGGGGCCTGTCCCTTAAGAAGGACTCCCCACACTTCCCTTTAATCAGCCAGAAAGACAACGCATCCAAGCCTCTGTGGGCTTCACTCCGATGGGCCGGGGTCCTGGTGTTTGAGCTCCTGTGTGTGATGACAGGGGTCCCCTGCAGGCTCAGCAGAAGGCACGCCAGCTCAGGAACGTTGCCGGCAGGCTGCGCATCATCAAGGGGGCAGGGCTGGCCCGGGGCATTCACGCCTTCCAGCAGGGGTGCCTGGCGAGGGCTGCAGCATCTCTTGGGGGCCGGCAGGCAGCTACTGCAAGCCCCAGGAGCCTGCCCACGCCTCCCTGAGGACCCATTCCAGTATGGGTCTGGTCATGTCCTCTGTACGTCTCGCCCTGCAGCATTTGGCTGCGGGAAGGCAGTACCTTCCCTGTGCCTTTTGAGCCCTCCCCTGCCTTTCTCCTTGCTTCCCCTCTCCCCTCCAAGTCCTTTGGGTGGCTCGAGATGTTTATCTCCTGCCTCCTCTCCCAGACCCTGGGAGGGTTCTGTCTCTGCTTCTCCTGACTCACTCCCTCTCCCTGTCCTGTCTCTCTCCAATTTTTCTCTCTTCATTCCTTTCTCCTCCTCTGACCTATCTCTTTCTCCATCCTTCTCTCTCTCTCTCATTCTCTTTCTCCTCTCTCCTCTCTCTCAATCTCTCGCTCCCCCACATTCCCCTTTCTCTCCCCAACTCACAGGGTTTTGGGTTTGTAACTTTTGAAACTAGTGCAGATGCCGATCGGGCACGGGAGAAGCTGAACGGCACCATCGTAGAGGGACGCAAAATCGAGGTGCGAACTGTGGCACTGCCTGCTCTGCGTCGGACACTAGGAGCCCCACTGTCTGCCCCATCACCCTCTCCTGCCTTTTCTAAAAACGCATTTCTGTCTCTGGGACCTCACAGGACAAGCCGGCGGGCGAGTGGATGTTGCATGCCCTGTGCTGTTGCTTCCTATTCGGACTGGGAGGGGCACGAAGAGGCAGAGTCGTGGGAGGAAGGCAGAATTTCTTCAGCGCGCATCTGCTGGAGCAGCGCAGAGTTGGTTCAGGGCTAAAGGCAGTAGAATAAGTATGGTATCGGGAAGCTTCCAAGCCTCCCAGCTTCCCAGATGAGGAAACCAGACTTGCACCCCCACGTGCTGGAAAGACCAGGCCTCAAGGGGAGATGTCAGTCATCAAATTGCCAGCTGCCAGTGGTCCTGGACTTCCTCTTGGTTGTTTACCCAGCTCACAAATACTATGTGATGAGCAATTTCTGTGTTACTCACCCAAGACATGGAAACGAATGACGTCTTGGTGTAGTCCTGGGAGAGCTGTGAGCCCTTTCTTGTTCCCCTGGAAGTTGAGGGTGCTCTGCTTCTTAAGCTGCTGCAAGGGGACCTGGCCACATTTCTCCAGGGCTGTGGGGAAGACAGGAGGTGCTGCTCTGCTGAGGCCAACTCTCTGCTGCTGGAGCTCCTGCCTTCTTGCTCTGCGTTTGGTTCCTTAGGTCTTTCTCCTCTTGTGTGGCTCCACAGAGCCTGCCCAGTAAAGGGTGATTCCACTGTGCATGAAGTCTGGGCAGGACCCTGCATGTCAGCTGTGTATGTGACTCTGGGAATGGGGAGTTTCAGGAACGTTTCCTTGCAAAGTGCCAAAATCGCAGCCTGTTCTCGCTTTGCTGATGCCCACACACTAGGAAGAGCTGCAGCTCAGAAGTCAAGCCAGAGGAGCTCCAGGCTTAGGAAATCAAGGGGGCAGAGCAAGAGGATGCCGAGCGTCACCAGCCCAGGCCATTATGGGAGAATCTGAACCCAATCCCAACCAGCATTTGTGAATCTTGAAACTTTCCTCGAGTCTCCAATCCCAGATGCCTTCCAGGGAAGAGGAATAACATTTGGATTCAAGCCCCGTCAGTCACTAATTGTATCTGCATATTTATCTCACCAGGTCAACAATGCCACAGCACGGGTAATGACAAACAAGAAGGCTGCCAATCCCTACACAAACGGTAATGGAGCCAAGATGTGGCGGGCGGGTGCTTGGGCTAGGCCAGAGCTCGTACTTTCTGATGATGGGCCAGGTTGTTCCTGCTACAGCCCTGGCTGAGGGTGGGGTTCTGGCAGGTGACGGGTCTCAGGTAATCCAAAACTGGGCTGTTAACCTGGTTTTGTGGTGCTTCTCAGGGCACACAAATGAAAAGAATCACTCATCCTGGTAAAGAAGCTGAAAGCACTCCTTGGGCTCCCTGCTTAATGGACCCGTCAGCCTGTCCCTCCAAGGGCAGGGTCCTTTGGTCCCCGCTGGCCCATCTTCCCAAATTGCCAAACATTACTCTGGTGGTGAAGTAGGTAGGGGCAGGAGTGACGCTTTCCTCTCTCTTTGCTCTTTCTCCCCAGGCTGGAAACTGAACCCCGTGGTGGGCACGGTCTATGGCCCCGAGTTCTATGCAGGTAATGCCTGAATCAGGCTGGCTCTGTGGGCAAGAGAGCAGTCCTTCAGGGACCCGCAAGATTGTGGGGGTTTTTGGCAGACTTAAGTGCTTGCTTGGTCCTCGTCTGCAGTAGGCTGTTGCTGCCGGGGAAGAAGCAAGGAGGGGCAATGGAAGAGCCAGGGCACCACAGCACTTAGAAGGCTGAGTCAGGACTGGAGAGACCCAGGTCTAAACCTCCACTCAGCGGTGTGATCCTAGGCCAGTCGCCATCTCTCGGCCTACCCCAGCGAGGAGCAAATCTGGATCTCCCGGTTGTAGTGGATTAGCAAGGGCTTTTGGCTTGCAGTAATTTAACCACAGCCATATCCGAGAAGTCATTTACATGCACACTTGAACGGAGAGAGAGTAAATTAGGCCGTTACAATGCCCAATCCATAGCAAATCAGATGTTGAGTTGTACTTGCATACACTGTACGGCTGATGGAATGCTGTTGGAAGGAACCTCAAAGTTTATCCAGGCCACCACTTTGCCTTTGCTGCTGCCTCCTGCCCTTATTTTGCACCTGCCTCCCGTTGGTATATCTGTGAGGTTCTCATGAAGAAACAGAGTAGATGGCACAGGTTTGAAGTCTGCCCATACCTGGTGCAAGCAGCCTCATGGGCAGGAGGGCAGAGTTTGGTTGTTGTGGGGATAAAATGTAGAGGGAAGGGAAAGCTGAACACAGCCTTGAATTGATTATAGGAAATGTGGGATATAGATGTAATGAAATGTTGCTCTTGTTAGGGCTTCAGCAAAGAAGATGAGGCAGAGTGATGTCAGGGCACTGTGCTGCCTGCCCCTTCTCACGGAAGTGTTGCTGGCGGGTGTTTCAGGAGCAGAAGGGCCTGAGCAATGGGGCAGAGGAGGCCTGGGCTCCTGCACTGCCTCCTGGCCCCGGGGTTTGTCCAAGGACACCACCAGGGGGAAGAGAGCAAGCTGGGTGCTCCCTCCGCGAAAGGACTCTTGGCTGCCGTGCGCAGGTCAGGCTTGGGTGCAACTCCCGGGCTGCGCTCACAGGTGCTTCTTTCTCTCCCGCAGTGACCGGCTTCCCGTACCCAGCCACAGGAACAGCAGTAGCGTACCGGGGGGCACACTTAAGAGGGCGGGGGCGCACAGTCTACAACACGTTCCGGGCAGCTCCCCCACCCCCGCCCATCCCCACGTATGGAGCGTGAGTATCTGGCAGGGACTGGGCACTGTGAAGGGGGCACTGAGGACTGAGGTGTCGGCCAAAAGCATGCTCCCCCATCTCTCCCGGGGCCCAGTAACAAGTCTGAGGCAAGCGCTTCGTCGTTCTCTTGGCTGGAGCCAGCCTGTGCCTTCGGCCATGGGATGCTGCAGGGTCTGGGCAGTCTCCTTTTCCCCTGGGAATCCACCTGTGTTTTCCCACCACTCCGTCCATCTTTCCTCTTACTTCAGAAGAGCCATTAAGGAATAAAAGAAGGAATAGCTGTGCCGTGCCTTCCACCAGGCAGTGCTAGGAGCTGTTCATCTGGAAGCCCCTTCCACACCCCTGGCCATGTTAGAGGTCAGGCTCACCTGGAGTGGCCGCAGTTTTCCCTTTTCTTAAGCTGGTCGCACATGTTCCTGTGTGAAAAGATTCCTGCCACACAGCCTGCATTTAAGCCGTGTAGCAGCTATCAAGCATCTGTGTACGTGCAGAAGCTCGCACTTTCTGCCTCAGATTTCACTTGGGCTCCATCAGGAATCTTGTCCCACTTTCTGAGGGTTCTGTTAAACTTTCCTGTGGGGACATGATCACCTCCATGTACGGAAATACAACATTGTCAGTATATGTCAGGTGGAGAGTGCTATTTCCTGGTAGTTCCCTAACAGGCAGCTAAGGCAGCGCAGCGGCTGTGGCTGCCTGTGCCAAGTGCTTGCCCCACAGATGGCATTCCCATGGCAGCCTGTGCATCACCTTCGACTCACAGCCGGGAAACATGCGCAATAGCAGGGGTGAGCAAGCTGCCTCCCTGGGGTCTAATTCCACGTGGCCCTCAGCCTCGCCTCAGAAGCCAGAAATAGATTGGATCATCTACCTCAGAGCAGAGGTAGATGCCTGGCGAGAAGAGGCCCCACCCACTTTGCTCTCTGCTCCTGCCCACTGCTTGGTTTGGCCCCGCAGGAAACGCAGCCCTCAGCAGGGGAGACTGTGCCCACCCCAGCTGCACAGCTATGCGCTTTGCCAACGAGGAACCCATAAATACCATCCCTCCCGAACGAAGCAAGCCCATTAAATTTATGCGGCTATACTTTGCACAAAATATTTATTTGCACACTCTGTTCTACATTTTGTGCAGGGTAGCATTTTTTGGTAGCAAGATATGTGTGAGGGGCTTATCACGTGAGCAAGAAAACATGACTAGAAAGACCCTGCAAGTGGGGGACAGAAAAGCATGGAAGGCACAGACGTTCCAGCCACAACCGTTTCTATAACCTTCCACCACAAGGGTTGGCAAGTTGCTTGTAGAAGAAAAGACTAAAGTGAGACAGAGGCTGTGCATGTTCAGGCACACAAAGCATGTCTGAGAGTGGCTGTGCCCAGATTCCCGCAAGAGCATCTGCTCCTTGTTGGTCATCCCACTTGCCTGTCAGGCAGATCATCCCATCCTGCGTGATGGCTGGTGCTTCTGCATCTCTCCGGCTGCCAAGGCAGAGGAAGGCAATTAACAGCCCTGGAAACCAGAGTCACAAAGGTCTGGCTGGTGCCAGGGGTGGGGCTGCCCTCGGAAGGAAGCTAGCAGCCCCACAGAAGCGGACTTCAGTCGCTCGCACAGCTCTAAGTTCTGGCTGCCCTTTTGCTTTCTTCCTTTGCAGAGTGGTTTACCAGGACGGATTCTATGGTGCTGAAATTTATGTAAGTCCCCCCCTTACAGTTTGATTCTTACTTCCCGATTCAAGCCACAAAAGCCAGCCGCCGATTCTCCTGCTGCCCCGTTCTCTCACACAGAGGGCCTTTTCCGGCACACGGTTGCCACCTGCCCCATGGGAAGGCCACCTCCCGCCTGGCAGATCCCACCTGTTCTTACTGGTTAAGCAGTGGGAGCAGGGAGGGCCTTGCAGAGCGTGTGCTGCAAAGTGGCACGGTTTCAAAACAGGACTGCTGGAAGGGCCGTGGCCGGTTGCAGAAAGCTGAGCAACAGAGATAGGAAGGCGTCTGCCGCACGTCTGCCACAAGCTCTCCTTCTGATCATTCCCAAATTGCCATCCGTGGCAACCCCGGTTCTGCCTCTCCCACTGTGGAAAGACCAGGAAGCGGGGAAAGGCTTGAAACAGGCCTCCTCTTGCACTTGTGCGAGAAGCCTGGGATGAAGGAGGAGAGGGTGGCAGTGAGGGCTGCATGGGGGGGGGGGGTGCCACCACAGCCAGTGCCATCTTCTGCATCAGCTCCCGCAAAGGGCAGGATTTATTTTCCTGGTTCAGTGTCAGCGTGCCGTTTGACAGCGGCATTTCCCCTCCATATATAAAGTGCTCTGGGCAATATTTCAGGCACACGCTGACGGATTTATCAGAGGCAACATCTCGTTAACACCGCCACCCGCCAGGGAGGTGACATTCTCTCCTCAGCATGTTTAATTTCTGCAGGTTAATGTTAGCGAGACCCCTGGGGAATGATAATGAGACGGGTGTTGGGCGAGTCTGGTGGGGCAGCTACATGCCTCCCTCCTGCGCTTGGTTCGCGCCTGGTGTGCCCAGCGCCTCGCGAAGAGCCTCCTGCCTCCAGGCACAGATGCCTCCGAACTGCCGGCCAGGCCAGTCCCGTGCTTTGCCCTGACGTTTCGCCTCTCTCTCCTTGTTGCTCCAGGGAGGTTATGCAGCTTACAGATATGCTCAGCCTGCGGCAGCGGCGGCAGCAGCGGCAGCTTACAGCGACAGGTAAGCTGCCTTCCCCAACTCTTGCTGTTCACAACTTGTTTCTGTGCCCAGAGTTGTCAGCCAGACCCCCTAAATGCTGGGGAAAGGAGTGACGCCTGCCTGCCTGCCTGCCTGCCATCACCCCTCTATCAGGGCTTCTGGCGGGATGCTTTGAAGAGTGCGTGAGGTGCATCCTGGGTGCCTCCAGCAAGGACCATTTCCCACCAGCTGGGCTGGGAAGAGAGTGGGCTGCCTCCATAAAGGGAGCCACAGCCTTGAACTGAGAACAGCTAAGCAGGGCTGCCGTGGACGGGACCTTAGGCGGGCTTGCCTTCTAGCTGGTTGCCGTGAGTCAGAGACAACTCAACGGCACATAGCAACAGCACTGGCCTCTTTGGGTGCACAAGGGCCATCGCCTGTCCTGGCAGACTCTGAAAAAGCAGCTCAGCCACAGGAGGGTGCTGAGAGCCAAGGGAACCTATCTTGGGCTGTGCCCCTTGCCAGAGTTCTCCTCCCATTCTGCTTTGCATGAGGTGCAGCTGCACTTTTATGCCTTGCAAAATCCATGTGTGCTCTGGCTAATGGAGATTCCTAGTTGCACGAGGACAGGAAGTCCCCAAGGAGAAGGGAACCCAACGCTGCTGGGCTGCATTCTGCAAGGAGGGCTCTGCCACAGGATAACGTGCCATTACAGGAATGGCCAGGGGGTGCCCACGGGCCCTTGGCCCTGCTGCTCCCGCTGCACTCTGGGAATTCAGCTGCCAGCTTGCAGAGAGGCCAAAGGGAGAGACAATGAGCCTGAATTAAATTGCAGGGGCAAACCAACAATTTTTGCTGCTGCTGCACTGACACATTTCAGCAACAAAGTGATAGCAGGGATTGTCCGGGGGGTGAAAACTGGTCTCCAAAGTTGCCAGGTCCTACATCATCATCATAATATTATTATAATTATATTACATTTCTATAATACCCATCCCCAAAGCTCTCTGGGCAATTCACAACTACTAAGTCACCCATCCAGATTTCAGTCAGGCCCAACCCTGCTTAGCTTCTAAGATTAGGCAGGATCAGACATTTCAGGCTATACAGAAGCTATTGTGACAATATAGCTGCATTACCCCTTGCTGTCTCCGTCATAATTCTCATCACCATTATTCTGGTGTGTCCTATCATGTTTTATTGTGAAGCTGCAGAAAACATTGGATATCTGGTTATTATTTATGCTTAAAATTCCTCTCGCCCATTTGCCACCTTGTTTTATTTTAAGCATTTTATCCAAAGTCCTACTTGATGTTCCCTGAATTTGTTACTGGTAAATTATAAGGAAAAGCATTGGACAGGACTCCTTTTTGTATCATTTCCTGAATGACCTCCTTCCTCTATGAAGGAATCCAGCTGAAAAACAGCATGACACAATGCAGTGAAACATTCACTTGAATTTTCAAGGAAAGATCTACAAGCGGCATACTGGATTCTTATCTGATCCTGCTCGCAAGCCTGTATGAGAAAAAATACAGGTTTTTCTTTAAAAAATCCTACCATCAAGTTTTCCAGATCTGTATTATTCCTTAGCAAAGGAAAATTGTGTGTTTAGCTATTCAATTTGGTTTAAAATGCACATACGTTTTAATCTAATTCATAGACAGACATTATAAAAGGTGTAATACAATGGTTCAAAGAATGAACCAAGGTTCAGATCTCATTTCAGCCATGAGTGCATTGGAATGGCCTTTGGTGAACAATTATTCCCTCTGCTTCCACCTTCCCTCCTGCAATACATGCTAATAGTACTGGCCTTCCTTATAGGGCTCTTTAAGAATTACTGGGATAATGCATGTGAAGTAGTTGGAACGCTTAGGAGAATCACTCTGTGAATACTCAGAATTCTTATTATAGAATCCCCTTAGGTTTCACTGCTTAAGACTTTGCTGTTGAGTATCAATCTTACGTTATTTTAACTCCATTCTTCTTTTGGAATATTGGCCCAAGAGTTTCTGAAATTCAGCGCTTTGTTCCTTCTCTCTTCCTCCCCCCTCCCTCCCCCTCTCTCAAAATCCTCTTATAATTTTCTCCTCTTGTTCATGTGAGCCTGTCCTGACAAAAGATATGCTGTAGTGGTGCCTCCCTCGCCCTGTTTTCCTAATGCAGCTAGAAAACGATTCCATCTCCATTTGCTTCACACCATACAAAACCAGTTCTGTTCAGCTTGACCCCTTCTCCATCCAGTTAACCACAAGGTCATGCATTCCAATTGCTCCTCTCTTGAGTCAAAGAACTACTGACGGATACCCTCATAGCCCTCGCCAAGATTTAGGAGCCAGGCAAATTTTTAGGAGCCAGATTTAAGAAGCCCACAGCCCATCCACAAAGAAGACAGGCACAGACTTAATTCTTCCCCCTCCTGCCACTTTCCTTCTGGCTGGGGTTCTACCAGATTAAAAGCACAATTGAATTTCAACAATGAAAGAAATAAGCAGCAGCCAGCCAGTTAGAAACCCCTTTGTGACAGAACAGTGAATATGCCCAAGGCCTGGCTGAATACAAACTCTGGAAGGAGGAGTTCCATTGCCAGTGACAAGACTCTGATTATCCTCAGACTGGCACCCACCCGCCCGCCCCATTGCCAGTGTAGGATGTCCCTGGTTCAAGGACCTTTCGTTCACCCTCTGAAACTGTTCGGGGAAATTGCAGCCAGCATATGGAGCAGGATTGGGGGTGGAAGAGGGGTGGACGGCAAGATCTAGTTTGCACATTGCTCACGAAACCTATTCTAAGGATGTCTGAAGCTTGAAATGATCTCTGCAGTTGCAGCAGAAACAGAAAGTTTGATTGTAAACTTTCAAGTTCAGACTTTAAAGCCTAGACTAAATGTAAATGCTCAGAAAATAATCCAGTCTTTTCTGTTATGTGTATCATGACTTTTTTTAAAAATGCGATGCCTGCGGCCTGATTCATGATTTTTTGAACATTTAGGGTTGGCAACTCTGCGGTCCCCCAGTTTCTAACGCTGCCCCCTGTGTTCGCTCCTAGTTACGGCCGAGTTTATGCGGCTGCAGATCCTTACCACCACACCATCGGCCCTGCTGCTGCCACCTACAGCATTGGCACCATGGTAAGAGCCAGCCCTTGCCCCGAACGGTCTGGGGAGCATGCCTTCTTGGGTCAGCTTAGCCGCCGAGGGTACAGGGAGGGCATAGGGCATCTCCAGGAGCAGCCGTGCTCACACCTCAGGTGCCTTCGCATTGCCAGTGCTCCCCGGAAGAGGAGACCCAGGAAGGGGGACCCCAGAGGAGAAGCACGCAGGCCAGGGCTGCCGCTTGCCCTGCTGCCCTCACTGCTGGCGGAAGCACATGTGCGCATACCTGCCGGCTCTCAGGGTTGTCACCAGGCTTCTGAACATTTAACCCACTCGCCTCGGAAAGGTTGCTTCCAGGAGACCCCCCTGCCCGCTCGGCAGAAAGTCAGCTGGAGCAAGCTGGAGCTGCTCAGGTGTGAGCGGCCCGTTGCTCCGGATCTGTTTCCCAAGGCGCAGGAGGAAGTAGAGCAGGGGGTGCGTGCGCCCTTTCCCAGCCCCTCCTGACCTTGCACACACAGCCCCACCCGGTACCTGCAGGGGTGCCTCCTCGTAAGCCGCCTTCCGTCTAGCACCAGAGAGGAGAAACGTCCAGGCAGTCTTGTGCCCTCCCCAGCCCTCTTCCGCGCACTGCCCACCCGCCAGCCCCCTCAGCCTGTGGCATTCCTGGCCCACCGAGAAATGAGTGGCCTGTAGAGGCGTCCCACAAGCTTGTGAGGTCAGGGGAAGGATTCTGGGCTGGATATGGGAAACGAAGGCTTGAGTGCAAGCCACGCACCTTGCGACACTCACTGCTGGAATTGTCTGTAGGAGACGGCTGGCCACCTGCTTCAAAGCCCCGTGCTGCGGTTTAATCTAGACCAGGCCCTTCCCTGCCCGTTATTTGGACTTCCTGTGAGCCCAGGCCCAAAGCAGCACTGCATGCTGAGAGTGGAGCCCCGCCCCCCTCACAAAGCAAGGCCTCAGCCAGCCGGGGGTCCTGAGAGACCACTGTATCGGCTGAAGTAACGGGGCAGGGATGGGCTGTGCCTCTCCTTTATACTGACTGGCTTTTTCTCCGTCTTTGATGTTGCAGGCTAGTCTATACCGAGGAGGGTACAGCCGCTTCACTCCCTACTAGCAAGACAGACCCAGCCCCTCTCACAATAGTAACACTTGACTGCTCCTTAGAAACCAAACCAAAACCAAACGGACACGGGCCCCTGCCCCCGTGCTGCTAGCCCTTGGCAGCCTAAGCCACCTATTCTTTACCTCAAGCCGCCTCTCACGCCTCACCCCCCGCCTGTCTCTGACGATGTGCAGCCGAGTTGGTTTCCCTTTTGCAAAGCAACCAGCCAGGGGGTTGGGACAGGGGCCTGCTCTTTACCAGACAGACAGACCACCAGCAAGCAGAACCGCAAGGGCGAGCACCCTGCCTCCGCACTGTGCTCCCAGGGCCCGTGCTGCCGGCCCCTGGTCACTCTCGCACTCAGGGGAGGATGCCCAAGGAGGGCATCCGGCGTCGTGCTGAGGGCGAGGATGCAGCTAGGAGACCTCAGGATATTCCCCTCCAGATGCCAGGGGTCTGTTCCCCACGTTCACACAGGGCCTCAGTGCCACTCAGGACCAAGAGAGCCGGGCGGCTGGCGCTCCCAGAAGCCCAAGACGCCCAGGCCCAGCTTCCACAGAGTTGCAGGGGGGGATCCTCTGTCCCCATAGCTCCATGGGTGGGAACCTCTCTCACACACATACAAACACGCATCCCGCATGGGAAGGATGGGGCTGTTCCCTAAACTGACTTGGAGAGGGGGCTCCCGTCATCCGGGATTAGTGTTACCGTGAAGGCACCGCCAGAGCAAGGCGGGGTCCCCTGCAAGGTCCCCTCGCAACTAGTCTGTCAGCTGCATGATGCGCGGGCTGAGACCAGCCTGGGGAAAGTGGAGTGGGCCCCCCGCTTCCTCAGCCTGGGGGCGCCAGCTCCGCCGAGGAGATGGGGAAGGCCGGCCTGTCACGGATGAGCTCCGCAGGATTAGCGCGCACACCCGCACAGGAGGGCATGAGTGGCGAAGGCATTTGTGCAGAGCCTGGAAGGGGGTGAGGGTGAAGGATGCTGGGGACGGAGGGCTGATGCCGCCTCCCGGTGTCCCAGTCTGGACCAGCACACGCAGCCCCGGCAGCACTGTCCCCAGGCGACTGCCTGCAGGTTGCTCCATGGAACGTTCTGCCTTTTTTTTCTGTTGTAGTGAAACCTTCAGCTGTTTCCTTCTGGGACCAGGAAGGGCACAAAAAAAATTTTTTTTAAAGCAAAGCAACAAAACAATTACAAAACTAACGAGCCAAGCGACTGCGTGAAAGCCCCCTTCTGTCCACACATGCGCCCCGAGCGACAGGCCACCTGGAGCGCAAGCACCGACCGACTGGACGGATGGACGGCCGCGACCCACAGACTCTGCCAAAGCCGTCCAGGCCAAGAGACCCGTGCCCTGCTTCCCAAGCCCACCCCGCTGCAGACCACGGGGCCAGGAGGGACAGGCACCGAAACAGACTGCACTCTGCAGGCCCCAGGCCACCACCACGTCTTCCTTCCAGCCCTCCTGAAGAAGAGCTGCGGCCTCCCTGGACCGCAGAACACGCCACGAGTGCCCCTGCAGGGCCCGCAATCCTGCTCCTTGCTTCCCAGAGCCTCCCGCAGCTTCCTGTGCTTTGCTGGTTCATCCATTGGTCAAGTTGGCAAGGCTTCGGATTCCCCGGCGGGGCCAGGCCAGGGTTTTTGGGGGGGTCCTGCGAAGAGATTGCACTTTCCCCTTCCCCTGAGGATCCAGCCCCGTCGGGGTCGAGCGCCATCTCCGCTTCCCTGCCTTCCTTCCTTGCACTAGGCCTGACCGATCTCGCCGTGGCTCAGAGAGCCGAGATCTTCTGAGTCTGCCCCGCGCCACCTTGGGGACCCTGGGCCCGCTCTCCATGGCTGCCACATGCACCCCCAGCTGCACCAGAGCCAAGGGCTGGGCAAGCACATTCTTTCCAACTGCACGACCAGGCCAGGGAGGGAGCACCGCCATCCCACGTGGCGGCAGAGAGTGGGGCAGCCATGCGCCAGGGCTTGAGGACTGCTGTCTGCAAGCCCCAGAGCCCTGCCGGTGCGAGGGGCACCCCACGCCTCGGCTCCCTGTCTGCCCACAGCCCTTGGCGGGAGGAGTGCGTGTCCTATGGCCCGGTTCCCCTCAGCCCCGTCCCGCCCCACCTGCCCCAGAGCCAAGTGGACTCAGGACCTCCCTCATGCCCCGACCCCCTCCTTGGCTTATCCATCTCATGAAACCTCACTTTCTATTCAGCATTAAAGCTCCTGACACGCCAGCAACCGACGATCCTCCTTTTCTATTCCCGTTGTACATAGTCCCCCCCACCTCTACCATGCCCTGCCCTTGTACAAAGCTCCCCCCCCCCATTTGCTGCCCAAACTCCCACCCTGGGAGCATCAGCCACCCACCCCATTCTGTATGCTTCTAAGGTGTGACCATTCAAATAAACAGTATTATTATTTATTACTACTAAGATGATTATTATTAATAATAAGATTATTAATAAAGGTTTCTTTCTTCAACCAGGATGGCTCAAGATTTTGACTGGGGAGAAAGTTGTGGCTGAAAGTTGTGAATAGCATAGTCAGGAAGGAAGTGGGGAATGTGTGCTCCTGCTGAAGCAGGGAGGAGGCGTGTCTTTCCCCGGCTTGTTGCCAAATGCAGACACTCGGGACAGGTCCGAAAGCTGCACAGGTAGCAGCCAGGAGCAGAGCTAGCAAAGAACGAGTGTCTTCTAGGAATGGCAAAAGAGCTGCGGCAGAGGAACGGAGGCTTACCTGTGGGCAGAGACCAGAGCAGAGGTGCATGGAGAGCCCTTCTGGTCAGAGGTATCCCATTCTGGTTGCCCTATAAGGACTAGCCTGCACATGCCACCCGGGAACTGCGCCCTCGCGATCAGGCTCACACAACCCATGCTGTGGCACACCCCACCAGATGCCAGCCACAGGCCATGCACGGTGGCCCACCAGTGGCTCCATTCGCCACTGGTGCTCTGCGCCTGCCGTCAAGGCATCCAGGAGGGAAGCGCCTGGCAGGCCAAAGCCCACGGCTCTTGGGTGGCAGCCAGCGCTGCAGGTCACCACTTGTGCAGGCCTGCTCCCTATGCCTTTACTATTTTGAGATCATCCTAGAGCAAAGAATGTTCCACACAGGTAAATTGTGTGTAACTTGGGGTCTGGATTTGTTTGGATGGTTTTAAACTTGCTGCTGGTAATTATATTCAAACTGTTCTGTAATTATTATATATTTATTATATAAAAGGGTAAATAAAAATTCTGCATTCACTTCTCTCTCCATACCTTAAATTTCCTCTTATTTCTAGCACCTCCCATTGAGAGTCTCCCTTCATAGGATTGTCAGATGCCTTTTCCCCCCTTACTTAAACCCAAAGAAGCAGTGGGGACAGCTGTGTACCCTATCCAAGGCATACATTGTCCACAGATTTGTGCAGAAACACTTTGCCATGTATTTCTCCTATTCCCAAAGATGCCTCAGTTGCTTGCAGTGCCAAAAGAAGAAAAAGCCGCATCCAACCGTCTGCTGTACATGACCATGAATGAAAGGGCACCCGCAGAATGGGTTTCCCTTCCCTGCTGCAGACACCCTTGGGCGCTTCCACCCAAATCCACTGAGGACCTCGCTAGGATGGATTTGGAAGATGCGTGGTCTGCCAGGAGAGAGGAAGGCCCATGATGTGAGTGAAAGCTCCCTCACTTGACACTGCATTTAAGCCAATGAGCAGAGCAGAGAAGTGCTTTGGTTGGCCGCAAAGGCCTGGGCGATGTTGTGCCATGCCAATGTTACAAGCACAAGATTAAAAGCCAAAAACAACATGGCTTATGAGAACTGAAGTTAAAGGAGAGTACTTTGGAATCAAAGCCATGTGACAGGGCAGCATGTTTCAAACTGTCAGTTTGCTGATTTTGTTGCAATGGTACCCCTCAAGGCAGCCCTGACAGTGTCGGTGGTGTTGTCTCAGTTTCCTTAGCTTCAAGCCATCACCCCATGTGGGCACAGGGCCTGCCCAGAAAGGCGCTGAACACTCAGCATGCACCGTGCCTGGCCAAGCTCCCTGCTGCTGATTGCCTGCATGCCACACTGTGAGGGAATAATGGCCGTTATGCAGTTTCTCAGCAGCTTTGCATCAAGGATCTGTGGAGGGGGAGTGCAGCAATGGTGGCGTGAAAAGCAAGGCAGCAGAGATGCTCTTCCACTCGCGCATGCACGCACACGGAGCAAGCAGTAGCTTCTCTCTGTGAGCACTTTATACCTAGATGGCCTGGAAAGGGGGGACTTTGCAGAGAACACCTTGCAAGAGCACCTCCTGCCAGATCCCCGCTCTTTGTAGAAAGCACCATTCTAGTTTTGCATTCAGGAACACCCTTTCTCAACCTCTTTCCAAAAACCTCTGGATCCATTTGTTAGTTGTTTTGGCAGAAGGACTGGACAGGGTGGGTTCCCTTATTCATTTATTTAAACCATTTCTATCCCATCCAGTTCCAAGGGACCATTCTTTGTCTTGTCGTTTTACTTACTAGAACAGCGACAGCCCCCTCCCACCCCTGAAGGCGAGAGGAAGAACTTAAAGTATTCCTGCTACGGGAACAGAGGAGAAACTGCAGCTATGTGTTAGTGGGAAAGCCTGGGCTGCGGAAGTCCTTCTCCATCACGTTCAGATCGGATGCCTCCCTCCCGTTCACTCTCCCTCTCTCTCAAGTGACTTTCTAACCACAGAGCAAGCTGCCCATGCAGAGCAGCCGACTGTAAATCATTACTTCGGACTGGTTTCTTCTCAAGCAGAATAGTTGTGCCAGCTCAGGCCAAACTAGCCAAGATAGTGAAACAAATCTGTGCAAGATTTCTGGAGTGGGAACGCCAGCATTAGCCCTAATTCTTGGAGCCGCAGCACAGCGGAGGGGCTCAGAGCCCCTTTCCATTGCAGCAAGCCGTCAGCCCACAACCGGCCAGCCATAAAGCTCTGCTGCCACCCTGTGGACCATGCTGATACATGTCCTCTTTCTAGCCTCACTTTCTGGCACAGGCGTGCAGGTCTTGTTCAGAGGCACAAAAATGGGGAGGAGAGGAGGGGACATGCATGGACAAGCAAACCAAGATAGCTCTAATTGACCATAGCTTTGTTTCGTCCCAACCAGTAGCCTATGGTTATGAACTTCAGAACAAGCCCAAATCTTAAACGTCAAACCATGGCTTAAGATCTTGGCTTGTTCTGAAGCTCAGAACCACAGATTCTCAGCCTGACTGAAAGAAGAAATGAGGTCCAGTTGTTTTCTGGCATGACACAGAATTATAAAAGAACTGCTTATTAATCTAAGACACATTTTTATTGCCCCTATATGTGCTTTCACTTTTCTTATATTTAAATGCCAAAGTAGAAAGTGGGCAGAATGTAAGCGCTCCTAGATCCCTGGGTGATTAGTAGCAAATCATGGAATTTAAATAAAAAGCCAATTAACTCATCAAGCCTAAAGTCCATTCTGGGTCTAAAGTATCCACAGAACATGCACTCTGGTTGTTTTCTGATTTTTAACCTTTCCTGGCAATCCTGGAGAAGAAAGCAGATTTTATTTCTCACACTTAAAAATAGTACCTCAAGTGGAGCTACTGAACAGAATATATTAAAATCAAAAGAGAGTTTTTATTGTGCTTTTGTCAATAGCTGCAAAAAATTCAGCAGAATAATGGGAATTAACATAGCTAAATAAGGTTATGAATAAATCAGTAATTAGCAACTTTGGTTTGGTGTGGAAAAGGACTCAGAACATTTCAATCATGAGAGATTGATGTTAAGTTTTAGGAATCATAAGACTCAACAGTTTCAAACAGTTAAGCTTATTTTACTTTCCTGTCCCTTATGCCTTCCATTTTTTATGATGATTGAACTGAATGTGCAATCTATGCTTCACGAAGCCATTTAATATTCACAATCCCTTCTTGTTGGCCCAAATGGGCAGGATTGGGAAATGAAGGTGTACATATTCCCAGCGTTACATAGTCCAAAGGCAACAGCTGCTCCTCACACAACTAGGCTTCAGCAACCTGAAAATGGGGACCTGCTCTCTCAGCGTGGCGCTCATTCACCAGCATGCTTCCCATGCCGCCTGGACAGAAGCACCTCTCTTGGCATATTATCCCTACCCAGCCTGAACAGGATTTCTTAAAAGCTTCAGTGAAATCTGAAATTCTTTAAGCAACCTTGTGTCCTCCAAGTAGGCTTAAGTACCAGTCCGATCTTCCACTGGCCATCATGGGTGCCCAGCAGGGTATGATTTCTTTAAGAAAATTCAAATGCTAAAATGGCAGTCTGTGGTGCATGAATGAGGAGTGTTTGAAGGATGGTTCAGGCTGCTGCTCTGGAGAAAGGAAAAGATTGCTCTCCAAAACTTTTTGAGCATTCACATCAACTAAACCACCACTTCTTCCAGCACTGGAAACTCATTTTTATTCCCTTTTTGCTTTCAAATATAACAAAATATAGCAGTGTTGCAAATCCTCGTGCCTCACTAAGGCTGACGCACTTTAGAGAGGGAGATAGACAAAATCCCTGGGATGCCCACTAAGCTCTATTTACTGTTTTGCTAAAACTTGCCAGTGCACATCTCTTCACACCAGTGTCTCCATGCACAAAAATTGCTGGATGTATGTTGAACTGGATGGCTTCTTTCATGGCTTAACATTAAAAACATGCATGAACTCCAAATGAAGCAAAGTATTCCCCCTTTCAGGCCACAGAGATGTGAATTCACAGCCCAAGACTCCACACAAATCCCCTATTATCATAAAAGCAGCAAAACCATTTCCCCCAGCACACAACCAGTTTCCATTCTATATCTTTGCAGAGCAACTGCATCAGGAAGTGGGGCTGGGGGGAGTCTGAGCCCCACCTCCTAAGCCCTGATAGGCTCAGACCAGCCAGGATGAAGTGGGGGCGGCTTTTTCCTCCGTCTGACAATCCTTGTCCAAGTCCACCACCTTCCCAAACAGCAGGGAAAAGAAGTGTGGCCACCCCAGAGGAAGGACAGCTATTCCTTCATTCCAAGTACATGCCCAGAAGTGAAGGGGCTTTTGATTCACTGAATCCCAAACTGCCCTTACTGCCACAGGAGAAGTCCCAGGAAAACTGCTTTATGCCATTGTTTACGGGACGGGAGGGGACAGGGCTGCACAATTCCTCAGCTCCTGGGATGCCCTCTGGGGACCACGTCCCCGCCCCTTACAAGCTTTTGCATTAACCCAGAAGGGCAGGAATCACCACCCTGCACAGCTCTTCAATTGTATTATTTAATGCCCAAGACAGATTCCCTAGTCCTTATTGCTTATTTATTAAGAAACATCATTTATTTATTTAGCCTGGTAACCAACCGACGCATATTTTGATACCAAGTAGTCAGAGCTCTCTGAGCAGTTCACAAAAGTTAAATTAACTTTAAAATTACAGCAGTCTTTTGAACATGCCTTTTCTCAGGGCAAACGAAAGAATGTGCTTTGGCCTCATTTTTGGAGCTTCAAAAGCTGCAACCTTTTGCTTTGATTTGGTATAAAACATTCTGGTGATGTGAACAGGCCCATTTACCCACGTCGGCATCTGTCTGTGAAAACAATCCAATCTGTACTTCACTGTTCCAGCAGGCAATGAGCACTCACCTTAAGCTGTTCCAAATCTTAGCAGCACATAACTATTTTTGTGACATCGTATTTCCTTTTTTTTAACATTTTAAAAGGTTGTTTCACGTATGTGCCGTAAATTAATGTGTTCTGCACAGTTTTATCCCGTCTCCCAAGTACACCATAGAACTGCTTTCCTAGGATGCATTTCCCTGAAATACTTCTTTTCTGATATCAGTTAACTCCTGTGCTAAAGGCTTTGCCCAATGAAAAATTACCTTTGGTATCGAATGTCAATAGGACGTGACTGCATTTCTGAGCATGTTAACAACTGCCTAATGCCAGAGGTAAAAAAAGCCAGATCCTATTGAAAAAGGCCACTGTTCCGTGACTTCGCTACTTAGAAACAGAAATGGCTTTGCCCAACAAGTTCAAAGTATAAATTAGTTTAATGAGCAATGGGTTATCTCAAGCACTGGTACCAGCGTTTGGTAGCTTCGGGGCAGAGTAGACAAAGACCAGTTTCCCCCACAGCTCCATATCTACTGCGACCCCATCGCCAGGAACCGGCTCCACAAGGAACTCCAAGCGGCAGGAAGACTCGGCGTCAGGGGCAGGCACCATGAGCTCAGTCACGCGGTAGGTGGGGGCATGCGCCTCCCCAACCAGGCGCAGAGGCAGCTCAGGACCAGCGGCACACGACCCACCCCGGTAGTGCACGCGGAAGCAGAGGGCCTTGCTGGGGGGGAAGGTCCAGCGTAAGGTCAGGCTGAGCGAGAGCTGGGCTCCCTCCGAAGGCCGGTGCCAGCGGACATGGGCAACGTCCATGGGCCACTTCAGGGTGGCGGCATCCACTGGCGACAGGGAGTGCAAGGTGGCCGCGTCCAGCACCTGTGGAGGGACACACAAGATGGCCACCACGAACGGGGGCAAGCGAGAGGAAGGGCAGAAGGGAGCGGGCCTGGAGATGCAGGAGGGGAGATGGGCAGGGCGAGTCCGGCTGTCCCAGCCTCTGGGGCGGACTCAATGGGACCAGCAAGGGAGCCACAGCCAGCTTCCCTGGGGCCCTCCTGAAGTTTCAGCATCCAGCATCCCTAACTGATGACCATGCCATCTGGGGATGATGGGAGTTGTAGTTTAAAGCAAGAAGAAGGCACATGATTAGGGCCAGCTGGCCAAGGACCAAGGGCCGGTCTTCAGGGTCAGGGACTGTTTGCGGCACTGGCCTCATCCTAGCACTACTCCAATCAGGAGGGGAAAGGAGTGCCAGGCTACCAGATCAGACATGGTAAGGCCTGCAGCTGTGAGGGTCAGAAGCTTGGGCAGTGAAGCAGCTCCGAGAGGCCCCATAAACAGGCCAGGGGGCAGCAGTTCAAGCCATTTCATTCGGGAGCAGAGACTTGGCAGTGCTTTCTGACAGGGCCACCTTTTCAAAGCAGCAGGAGCCAGGCCTTCCCAGGAGCAGAGGGCGCCCCTGAACCACTGGGGTGGCTGCAGGGAGAGGCCCCAGCCCAGTCCAGCCCATGGCAGAGCCCCACCGCTCCCCACAGCAGACTTACCCAGATCCTGCCCAGGCGGCAAGCAAAGGGCGCCTCCTCCTGACCAGCCTGGTGCCGGGAGACCGTGACCGAAAGGTCATCCAGGAAGCCGTTCTGGAGCTCCAGCTCAAAGCAGCTGTGGGGGGACGAGATGAAGGGAGGCTCTTGTCAGTGGCTGTGTGTGGAGAAGGCCTTCCGCCATTGCCCACAACTCTTCCGGCAGCAGGCCCAGGGCCAGCCTGCACAAGGCCGAGGCATCCAGGCCTTCTAGAGAACCGCTTGCTCACATGGAGGTTCAGAGCAGAGCCGACGGGAAACTGTCCCCCACCCCGAAGTCAAACCTTATCAGGGGCAGGTCCTGCAGCCCTTCCCTTACCCTGGAGGAGCTCCTTCACACAGAGAGGCCATACGCTCCTGCCTCCTTCTGCACGGAGAAAGTGGCAAAGGTCGAGGAAGGCCGGGCCCTCTTGCTGCCTTTCACTCCGGGAGTGGAGGACCTCCGCCCTGCTGAGGGTGCACCCCGAGCCCGGGTCCTCTCCCAGGGCTGGAGGAGGACAGCCTTCCCCTCCCCACAGCCCGCTCAGTGACTGGAAGCAACGGCAGGGTTTTGGCTCCCCACAGAGGGGGCTGCCGACTGAAGGCTCCTTCCGGGAGTTAAAGGGACAACGGGACCCCATGCCGAGGGGCTGAGAGTTGAGAACCGGACGAAGAGCGACCACAGAGGAAGGGGTGGGTGGTGGAGAGTGGAAGAGGCAGGGCTGGTGATGCCACCGGGGGTGCACCGCTTCCACCAGCTCCCTTCCGAGCGCCTGGACCAAGGGACGGCCACCACTTACCGGCTCTGCCAGCCGCGTTCCCCGTGTCGGCCACATCCTCGGAACAACTGAGCCAGGCGGGGAGGAGGTGTGGGGAGCAGGAAGGGCTTGTGCCACGTCACTTCTGCTGGAGGAAAGGCAGCATTAGGGCTCATGCACAGCCAGTGTCAGCTCAAGGGCCAGGCTCCATTTCCAGGAGCTTCTGGGGCCCGTATTCCTTGGGGGTGGGGGGGAGATAGCGAAGGCAGAAACAGCAGTGCCAAAATGCCAAGAGGACCAGCATCTTTTTGCTTGATGCACTGATTCCCAGCAACCACTCCTTAGCAGAGGCATTTCAGCCTCATAGAGACAGAGTGGCAGGGAAAGGCAGCAAGGGCAGGAAACCATGAAGTGATGGGTGGTCAGGCAAAAGGGGTGCAGCCGAGGGAAGAAGGCTTGCAGCCCTAAAGGTTCGACACCTTTGCACTGAGGAAAGGCAGCAGAACAGCAGAGCAAAGAGGAGTGAGCCAGGGCATTTCCTGAGCTGCTGAGACGCTTCTGGAAGGCACCGAGTGGCTTCCGCAGGGCAGCCAGAGGGCGAGTCTCAAAGGAAAGGGCAGAAGCAGGACTCCAGTACCAGATGAAGGTGACCTGTCGCTGGCAGAGGAAGGTAGCGACGTCCTCGTGCTGAACTGCGGTGCCATGGCCACAGTCTGGGAGGAGTTCCCGCTCTTCTCAATTAAGACAAGGAACAGTCGAGGGGGGGCCGGAATCTGGAATGAGAACAGCCTGTGACGCCCCCCACGCCCCAGACAGGCAGAGAGAGAGACAGAGAGAGGGCACGGTCACTACCCGCTCTGGCCCCTGGCCAGCACAGCTGCAAAGGGGGCAGCCGGGAGGGGCCCGGCCGCACGCCTCCTTCTCACCAGCACAGCATTTGCGTGGCCGCCTTTGGCAAGGCTCAGACCAGGGCCCTCTGCAGGGACAACTGTTTCCCCAGATGGCCGCACAGCGCTGCTAGCTGGCCTGGGAAGCCCCCCGGGCTGCTCGCAGCACCAGCGCCAGCCCTGCCATCAGGCAGACCGAAGCAAGTGCCACGGCCAGCAAATGCCAGGAGGAAGCCGTGGCAGCACCTGCTTGGGCTGGGATGCCCAGCCATTCCTCTCCGCTAGGGGACCGAGCTGGGTGAACCGTGTGCTCTTTCCCACGTCCCTCAGCAGGTGTGCCACCTCAGGCTCGGCAGAGGACCCTCCCCGCTCACTGGTCACCCACCAGCCCCGTCCGCTTCTGGGCAAGGAACGGGAGTCTGCCCACTCCCCTTGCGTGCCAAGCAAAGGGCCTCAGGCTGGCCCCATTCAGTGTGCATCAAGCCACCTTCTTTTCATGGCGAAAGGGCCTGCGGCAGAATCCCACACAGACGACATTCCACATTTCTGTCTAACTCGTGTGCTAATGTGAACACTTGGCATCACTGCCCAGTTTGACCCTTGCTTGGGAACCCTCTGCCGAAAGGGAGCCGGAGGGGTGCAGTGGCTAAGAGGACAGGGCTGGGCCTCAGGCGACCGGGCTCCAGTCCCACTCAGCCAAGGAGCCAGCTGGGTGACTTTGGGCCAGTCACGGACTCTTGGCCCAACCTCCCTCACAAGGTTGCTGTTGTGGGGATAAGACTGAGAGCGGCAGCAGGAGGCAAGTGATGTAAGCCACTCTGAATTCTTTGTAAAAAAAAGGGGGGGGGGAGAAATCTAATAAATAAATAAACCAGAGTCCAACTCCTACTCGACACCCCCGCCTCTGTCAATTCCAGGCACAGTTAACAGTCCATCCCTGCCTTGGCTCCACCCTTGACAAACAGTGCCCAGGTAAGAGGCGGGGTCTGGCGCAGCTGCCAGCGCCTCAGGAGGAAACTCGTGCGCAGAGACACGGAGCTGGAGACGTGGCACAGACACCAGGTGGCCTCCACGGGCCCGAGGGCGCTCCAGCGCAGCTCCGCCCCATCTCGGCAGCCCAGCCTGGACACCTGAGGCTTAGCTCACCCACGACAGCCCCAGCCTACAGACCTGGCCAGATCCAAGGGGGACGTGATCTCCCCTCCCCTCCCCTCCCCTGGCCAGCAGCCCCTGCTGCTGTTCCGGCCTGCCCCCACCCCAGCCACAATTGCCCTGTGCCCCCAGAGGCGGCCCCCGCAGTGCACGTCGGGCAGCGCCAGCAGCACAGGCTGCAGGACAGGCAAGGAGCCCAGGGCAGCCGGCCCCAAGTGGGCTGCTCTCCAGCCATCTTCTTGCCCATCCCTGTCTTAACACTCTAAACGCACACCCTAAGCAATGCCCCTGAGGCCTCTGTGGCATTTAAATCTTCTTCCTTAACTTGTTTAGCTACTGCACCGGCCTTCCTCAGGTGGGGACCCTCTGCTTAGACATCCTTTCAAGCCCCCCTGCTGGTTTCAAAAGGCTCCTCCCACTGCCCCTAGTTCCAGGGCACCTCCAAAGCCTCCCCACATCTCACACAGGTGCCCCTCCTGCCACTGCCACCGTCCACAAGAAGAGAGGTGCACTTTTCTCTTGCAGCCCCTGGACGCCCTTCCCGGGAGCACAGGGTGGCAACCTTGCTGTCTGCACAGCACAGCACTGCACTGTTTTGTTTATTTGGGTATTTTTACTCCATCCGATACCCAGTGGGTCTCTTTGAGTTCGGTTCCTTCATGAGCTGCTTCTGGGGCCCCCGGAGAAGGCACTCAGTGGGCATTAATACAAACAAAACTGCTCATTTTGATTTGGCACATTTTTTAAAAAGCTGCTCAAGAGAAAAAGGCCTGGACTCGGTTCACAAAGTCAGGAATGGGAAGAAGAAAACCATTACCGCGTGTTTGGCATGCAAAATATGGAGGAAAACCTGGAGGAATTAAGCACGTTTAGTTTTGGAATAAGCAGACAAAGAGAGGTCATGGCAACAGATCTCACTCATTGTGGTGTGGCAGGGCAGGGAAGGGAGAAAGGGAAGAGATCCCCGACTCCCTCCGAACTCAGCAAAAGGTTGGTTCTGCTGCTGGGAAAAATCACTTTTAAAATGAGAAAATCCCATGAATGCACCATCTCCAAAATCCTTCCAAACACTGATTCTGTATCACACACCGATCTGCATTTGCACCCGCGGCAAATGGACACACATGCATGCTTGCGAGCACACTGCACTGAGCCTGCATCGGGGTGGGAGCCTCTTCTGCCCTGGGAGCAAAATGCAACTAGGGGCGAGCCCCATTCCAGCAGTGCGTGGGGCCAAAGGCCAAAAGGGCAGGGCCCACAGCAGATTTTAGCTTCAGGTTCTCACTGCCGGGACTGAACCCTGCAGCATGGGCAAACCCCGCACAAGGCCAAAACGGCACCAGCATTTTGGTGGAATTGGTGGCTGGCCAAGGGAAACCTGGAGACCCAGGTGTGATCCCTGGCCCGGGGCCTGCCCCCGACTCTGCATGCTCTCCTGGATTCCTCCTGTTGCCAGGCAATGCCCACCCCACAAGCCCGCACACCCGCTTCCAACTCCAAGTAAGGCGCGGTCAGGAAGGTGCCACAGCCTGGGCCAGCACTCACCTCACAGTGACGTGAGTGGCCTGCGGGGGGATGGTCCCCTCCAGCAGCAGCGAGCTGCCCCCACACCAGGCATCCTGGAGGCAGCAGCGCGTCCGCAGCCAGCCCCCGTGAGGCTCCGTGCGGTGCAAGTACAGCGGCTGGATCTCCTGCGCACTCAGGTTGTACCACGGCTCAGCCCGACTCTCCTGAAAAGAGAAAGAGCCACCGCAGGCCAGGCCGGGGTGCAGCAAGAGGACTGACTGCCAATGTGCTACTGCAATCGGGCTTCTCTTACACTCCCCTCCTCTCAGAAGCCCACCTTTGAGGTGCATTTCTTTTCGAGAAGTTAGCCTCACATTTCAGAGCCACTTGCATGTTTGTGGCCCATGCAAATATCTATTTCCTGTCTGGAAGTGTCAGGCCTCGTATGCAAAGACTATTCCTAGCCAAAGGGACTAGGAGGGAACCACCTTTCTAATTAATGAACCTACTCCTTCCTGTGATGTAGTGAAATAGTTCAAAACTTTCTAGCCTGCAGGAAGAAGTTTATATTCATTCCAAAGGCGAGTCCATTTTTTTAAAAAAGCAAACTACCTGTGAAAAGCAAATGCACAAGATGGCAGGGCCGAGGGGACAAAAAGAGGAAAAAAAACTGGCGGGTCCACGCGGAATAGCATTAGTCCCCCAGGCAGGTGAATGGCAGAATGGGGATCAAACCCACATGACATTCATGGTGTAGTGTAACGGAAGAGAGCCTGCACTTGGCCACAATTTGCAGTGGGAGGGCAACATTGGGGCTTCACTTCTGATTTGCTTCCTGAAATTTGCATCTCCCACTCCCTTTCAGTGTATTTTTAAAAAATAAAGTTCATCTTCCACTGACTTCAGTGGATTGTTAGGTTACTCCCCCCCTTTTTTTTCTATCTTGTGAGCTACCCAGAGAACTGCCTCAGTTAATAGGTGGCAAAGAAATCAAATAAATAAATAAATAGGAGCTTTTACAAAATTGAAGCAACAATACTATACTTGTTTACCTGAGAGCAGGTCCCATCAGATTCAGTGGGGCTTACCGCTGTGTAGACATGCACAGTGGTGTGTGGGAAGTGAGGAAAACGCCTGACCCCAGAACCCAGAGAAATGGAGACCAGGATGGGCCAGAAGACCGCTAGAGATGGCATCTTGCCTCCTGCCCTTCCCTTCAGAAAGCTTTGCTAGAGCTTCATCTTTGATCCCAGTAATCCCAGTTAAGCTGTGACTGCACGGACACGCTCAAAATGGAGGCAGCTCTTTAGTTTTATTGTTGTGGTTGGCAAGCCTCTTTTTCAACTGTACGCAAGTAGTGCACAGTGCAATTACCATAAAAATACCCTGGTGTGCGACCACGACAGCGATCCATGTCACCTAGAGAGGAAGTTGCCTTCCTGCAGGGCAGGGCACTCCTCCCTCCCTCCCTCCCTCCCTCCGAGTGGCGGCAGCTCTCCAAGGACCCAGACAGAAGGTCTTTTGCATCACCTGCCGTGGGTTCCTTGCAGGCGAGATGCCGGGGATCCAACCAAGGGCGTTCTGCACACAGAGCAGGGCCCCCCCACAGAGCCAGGGATTCCCCACCACCAGCGCCCTGCTCCGGGTCATGCGTCCTGCACAAGCAGGCATCAGGAGCCCTGGCAGGGGGCAATGGCTGGGGTGACGGGACTCCAGTGGAGGAGACTGAGCCCGGAGAGGAGCCCTGCCAGTCAAGAGGCCTGCAAGCCACACACAGGCATCATCATGCAGGAAGAGAGCCCCCGCTCACCAGAAAGAGAAGGGCCCAGCAGCCCGCCCAGGCCAGCCGCCTACCTAGCTAAGCAGCCCTGTGGGGGCCTCCATTCAGAAACACGCAGGGGCAGCTGGGCAGCAAAGCCCGAGCCACAGCCAGAGTCAGAGCCAGCTGAAGGGCTCACTGCCCTTCTCCCCTCCTGGGCTCCAGCGCCTGCAGAGGCGTCTCTGGAAGGCTTACAATATGAAACGCCTAATAAATACATTGTTTCTGTCAGCTGCTGCTGTTCCAGGCAGAAGAGCTGGCTGGGGAGGCTGCCATGCCAGGCATCCAGAAGGCCCGGGAAGCACCCCCGTCTATGGGGGGGAGGTGGCACAGAGCAGGCAAGGTGGGCATTAAAGCCGTCGGTGGGCACATCACTTGCTGAGTCACCCGCAAAGGGAAGGGCCATTTGCCATCCTTCCTGTGCCCCATTTCCTCCTCCCCAGCAGCAAAGCCCAGTCCTGCCTCGGGTCTTACCTGCCCGTTGCTGAAGTGCCTCTGGCCCATGCCCAGGTTGAAGCTGGTGCAGAAGGGGAGGGAGCCAACGCTGTGGATGGGCAGCAGCTGGGACAGCAGAGCCCAGAATCTACAGGCAGGAAAAGGAGATTAGTTGTCCCACGGGGGGTGGGGGGCCCAGGCTGCACCTCAAGGCCCCTGGGAGCCCAGCCTGACTGGACCCAAGCAGGAAGGGCAGCTAAGCCTGATGGATCCCCCCACAAAGGGTGCCCACTGCACCAAGGGGGGGGGGCGCTCTCTGGGAAAACATGCTCTCCACCTCCTCCTCACAGGCCTTACTTGTCCTCATTGTTCAGGAAGTCCGCTGAGCCAAGCTGCTCGTAGACCCAGCCGGGCGCAAAGATGGCCACCGAGAGGCCCTGCTCCCGAATCATGCGCAGCGACTGGAGGGACACAAGGGGCACCAGGTCGCCATTTCCCCCGGGGATTCCAGAGCACTGCTGGCCCGGCTCCGGGGCGAGCACTGCCTGCACCCAGGCCCGACCCCTCCCATCGCACAGACTGCCCAGCCTGCCCGCGTGGTAACGAGGCCCTCGGCGGGGGGGGGGGGCAGAACTCAAGCACGCAGGAGCTACGGCTTGGTTGGCTGGTCTTGAACTAGACGCTGAGGTCCACCAGCCAGAGCCAGGAGCGAAACACCTGCAGCCCAGGAGGCTGAAACAGTGCAGGCCCAGAACAGGCCGTTCTGGCAGAGCTCTGCTTCTGGTTCCCTGGCCCCTGGTGCGGATGTTCAGCAACCCAGCGGAGTGGGCAGGGCGGGGATGTGCCGTTGCCGCAGGACAGCGCAGGCACCTTGCAGTGGACCCGACTGCACCTTCCGGCCACCCCTGCTGCAGAGTCAGGCGCAGCACCGAAGGAACCCCCAAAGCGGAAAGGTGCAGCCGGGCCCTCCTACCTTGTTCGTTTCAAAGCCACCACTCACAACGTCCCCACGTGCAAACACATCCACCCCGACATAGACGTCTGTCCGGCGATCATCTGCCACCTCCCTGGAACGCAAGAGGTGCTCCTCCTTCCAGTTGTAGTTAGTGAACAATCCGTCACAAGCATCGAAGTAAACCCTGCAAGCACACAAAAGAGGAGGAGCAGCAGTCACCCGTGGGGCTGCGAGAGATCCCCTCGAGTTGCCTCTGGTTTTGCCCCAGGTCACCCAAGGAAGCCCCACGGCTTAGATTCTGTGGGTCCGTCCACACAGCTGGCGCTGCAATGCCTGCAGTCCAAGCCTGTGACGTGCCTGCTCCAAGGCGGACAAGAATCCGTGTGGTCTGGAATGGCCAGGCACTTGTCATGACGGTCCCCACAGACACCTCCGCCAGGAGGATCCAGAATGTGCAGGCAGCCAAGCTGGTCCATCTCAACACACCCGTCTCTAGCAGGAGCAGGTCTGGAGCAGGCACACCCGTCTCTAGCAGGAGCAGGAGCAAGCCACTCCAAAACGCTGTGCATTACAACTGGGATCGGGACAGCTCAGGGCACTACACTGCTGCTGAGAACCTGCTGTGTGGAACGCAGAGGAAACAGGGAGACCGAAAAGGACTGGCGGATGATGTGAGAACCAGGAGCCCTGCTAATGAAAAGGCTGCTGCTGCGTCCCTGCGATCCCTGGCTCCGCGACACCACAGCCAAGGATCCGGGAGCTCTTGGGACCATGTCCAGGGCGCTTCCCACACACCGGACCGTCACACTATGCACAGACCTGGAACAGAACGGAGCACCACGGCCCAAGGCTGGGTCACCAAGCCGGCGCTCAGAGGCTGGGGGTCTGGACACCTCATTAAGCATGGCTCTCCTAGGCATCTCTGTGCCTCATGCCAAGAGAGGGAGCACGGGATTATCCCATGTTATCCTCGCAACAGCACTGCAAAAGAGGTTAACCTGGAATACAGTAACCTGTCCAAAGCTGGGCAGGCTTCTGAACCCAGGCGCGCCCGGCCCCAGCTCTCCCCTGGCCTCTCCCACCTTGTGGATGCCGCTTCCTACTGAGCAGGCAAGTTCTAGGAGGGCAGTGCAACCGGACCAGGACAGAGGCTCCGTGGGGACTGCCTGGGCGACTGTGAGGCTTGCACACTCTACCCCCACCCCCCGAGAGCAACTCACCGCCTCCAGTTGGGGCAGGGGGGACAGAAATGTTCGCCGCACTCACTTGTTGCTCTCGTTGAGCTCGTTTTGCCACCGGAGCTCCCCGCTTGGCAAGACGCTGTCGTACCACAGCACCTGTCCTCCGGGCACGAGTCGGTGCACCTGGGCCGTCAGGTATCGCAAGAAGTGGGGCACGTTCCGCGCTGCTGACACCTGCCGTGGAAGAGTTGCACCATCACGCCGGGCGGTGGGGAAGCCGTCTGCCCACCGCTCAGTGATGCTGTAACCCAAACTTGTCATGGGGTAGGCTCTCATCTTTTACTGTCTATCAGTAGTAAAAAGTCCTACAACTCTTAGCCAGCCATGACTGGCTGAGGGATGCTGAGTTGCAGGACTTCTTTCTGTAGAAATATGCACAGAATCATGCCCTTAGAAAATGATTTCCAGCCTGGAAAACAACCAGACATACACCGAGCAACAGGGCCACACTAGCAGTGTGCTCATCAGGGGCCTTTCTCCTCACTCCCTGTGGCTGCTGCCGAGCCCAGTTCAAGTTGCCAGTTGTTGCTGGTTGTTACCCTAAATATATTGGAGCCATTATTTTAACATGACCATCTCCTCCTCCATGAACCTGCCTGGCAATTGTGCTCCTCCTCAAAGTTCTTCCTCCACACCTTGTCACAAAGAGAGGTGTAATTAGTTGAGATATGAGATGAGGCCTTTTTGGTGGTGACACCTGCCTGGAACTCCCTCCCAAGGGAGGTTTAGTTTGGTTTCTTCATAGCTAGCTTTTAAACAGAGGACCTTTCTATTCCATCAGACTACTGATCTATTTTAATTCCTCCTGCATGTGGGTTTGTTTTACTGACTTGTTTTAATACTGCATGGGCTTTAAAAATCGTAATGCTGTAAATAGTCTGGGAGGCCCTTTCAAAGGCAGAAAAGAAGCATATTGATGGTTTAATAGGTAAGTCTGGAAGTGCGCTCACATGGCTCTTCTGTTCCCAAGAACTTGGGGGAAACGGCTCTGCTTGTTTGCAGAAGAATTCACCGAGCACAGCACTGGCTGGCTGGAACCACTGATATCACATGCCCCACCTCCCCAAAGGAGTATTTCAACTTGTTCCTGTTTTGAGCTGGCACACAGTCACTGGATGGAGTGAGCGAGCGTGCAGTGTTTGTAAAATGGTGGACAGCCAAGCACGAGAAGGTTTGGCCAGACTAATGAATCAGCATTCAGTTCCTCACTTAGCTGGCCTGCTAGCTGCCCCCAAAAACATGGAGCGGGAGAGACTGCAGGAGCACAGGGTAAGAAAAAGGAAACAGATCAGGTCCTGATTTAGGATGCATCACACACCCCGGGTTATTTTGGTAAATCCACTGCCCTTCAGCACCCCCTTCACTTCCAGGGAAGCTCGGCACAGTGTGGCTTCTCCTGAATAGGAAAGCTGGGCCTTCTATGCACCAAGAAGCGAGGGTGACCATTTTGATCCTGGACATTTTTACTCAAAAAAATGTGGGCCATGCCTCCACCTTTACCACCTCCTTTGCATTCAAACCCCTTCCAAACTCTTTCCAGTTGATTTTTACCCTACCCCACCAAGGAAGCCAGGGAGCTGGCACAGCACAATTTGTATGAAAACAAACAAGTCACAAATAACATGCATACAAGGAAGCACAGATTTAGCAGGCAGAATGACCAAACCCTTCAGCCAGGCCTTGGCAAAACAGTGCCATGTCTTCCATTCGGAACATAGTGTTTGCATTATGGTTTGTGAATCCTGAAGGACAGATTGGCAAGCTGCTGTGAATGCAGGGAAACAAATGCATGGGCAGAAAATCTGTGTTCCTGTATGCAAACCTGCAAGTGCTGGCACTGAGGAATTGCCTCCAGCCGATTTCAGCTCTTCTTGCAAGCACCTAAGTCTAAGGGGAGCTTGTAAACTTTTTAGACTGGGGGAGGGGATTACAGTAATGCCAGGAAGACTCCCAACATTTAGTGGTTGGGGGGAAAGGGGGTGTGAAAGAGGGAAGAGGGCTCAGGAACTGCTGGACTGGGACCCCCTAGAAGTCCGGATCTGCCTCCCAGGCCTGGGCATCTGCACCCCGGTGAATATGCACACAGTGACTGCACTGGTCTCTGAAGCTGCAGGGATGGCCACAAGGCCAGCCATCTGTCAGGGGAAGATGCCGAGACGAGCTCCAAACTGGCTCTGGGCTGTTAAGCTCAGTCTGCAGGGAGAGAACAGAGGAAGAGGGCGAAATGGCTCACACTCAAGGAGTTCTCAATGTTGACCAGCCAGCCATCAAAACGGTAAAACTGCGCAATTGCAGCCAGCTGTGCGGCCACAGCCTGGTACGCTTCTTCGTCCTCGCCTGCCAGGAAAGCCTCACACATCTTCCCGCCATCCGTCCACTCTGTGATGAATGTCCCTACAGGCATGGGAGGAAACACAGGGAGACGCTGAGTCCCTCCCTCTCCTGCCCTGGCCCAAATTGCTCAGCATCAAGGTAGGCTTGCTACCACTACACCGAGAGCACCCTGCCAAGGATAGGCAGCGCCACCCAAACACAGGCCATGGCGATTTCAAGCGACACAGCCTATTGTACGGGAAGAATTACCTCTCCCATAAAGCAAAGCTAAGGAACAGCCGGGACAGCTCTTTGCAGGGATGCCAACATCCCCCAAAGAGAGGGCTGGGCAAGAGACTCCCAGGCTTGCAGGCAGCACAGGCGAGTGGGTCAGGCTTCCCCAGCAAGAGGGACTTTGCAGTACAGGCAGGGGCCTGGGAGCCACGTGTACCCCAGCCCGGGTCCAAATCTGACCCTGCCGGCTTGGCCAGAGGGTCATGCCACTTTCTGCAGCTCGCCCCAGTACCCTGACTGCCAGTGGTGTGCCGCCTTCCCAGCTTCGAGTGTCTTCTCCCATTCCCAAAGGCCTCTCCTAAGGCTTAGGAACTGGCAGCAAGTGCTTCAAGCTAAAACACACCGGCATTTTCACCCCACCTCTTTTCATCTGGTGGCTCCCCTTTCGGCTCGGGCCACCACAGTGGAGCCCCTGGGGGCTCAGAATTCGACTCGCAGGCTGAAACAGAATTCGACTCTGAATTTGGGCTGAAGGTGGTGAGGCCCCCTGCTTTGCAGCACAATGCAGAAGGCAGCGGGGTGCGGGGGAGATGGCCTGGCCCAGCCTCTGGAAGCAGCAGGGCGGCTGCAGGATTCCCCCAGCCCCTCCAACCCAGCGTGGGGCAGGGTGGGGCACAAGAGGGCTGATGCTGAGCACCTCCTCCTGTGCAGGCCCAGAAGAGCGTTCACCTCGACGACACAGCAGGATCGATCCCCCAGACTCACCCAGCATGAGGACGCCGTTGCGGTGGGCTGCGTTTGTCCAGACCACTGGTGGAATGGTGACTGTGTGATGGCTGAAGTATATGAAGAGGTCGATGTAGTGCCAGTGGTAGAAGACGTAGGGGTCACGCACAGCGGCGCCCTGGATGAACCTGCCCACAGCCAGGGGAGAGAGGCGCTCAGCACAGGCCAACAGGCCACCTGGGGCTCAGTACAGCAGACCACGCACCACTGCAGGCAGCGGTCCTGCTTGACACTGTATAAAGGCATTCATGGTAAAGTGGGGACCCAGCATGGCACAGTGGTTAGAGTACTGGCCTGGGATTTGGGAGACTCCCTGCCTGCCTGTGGAGCTCACTGGATGACTTTGGGCTAGTTGTGAACTCTCAGCCAAACCAACCTCACAGGGTTGTTGTGAGGCTAAAAAAGAGCAGGAAGATCTATGTAAGCCACTTTGAGTTCCTTGCAGGAAAAAAGGCAGGATATAAACACATTAAATACATTAAAAAGCTGCTAAATTTTCTTTCATGTGTACAACTAATAACACAGTTTTGGGCAGTGCTTTCACACCTGGGTGCGCATCATGATAGTTCTAGGGGGAAACAAAACTGGAGGCAGCTGCCTTGGTCTGTATCAGCCACCCAGTTCTAGGAGTTTCATCGGCAGCCACCAGGTCTTTTGTAAGGTCTTGAGGACCAAGTCATCTTCAACTACTTTACATTCTGGACTGAAGACCACCCTGCACTGGGGTCTTGATCAGGACTGAGAACCCCCAAGCTGCTTTTTCCTAGGAAAGGGACCTGCCTCGCCCTAAGCAAGTTATTTAAACACCCTACTAACATCACACACAGTTTGGCAATAAGAGCACAGACCACGAAATTATCCAGTCAGCTCTACCATGCAAGCAGCTATTCTCTCATCCTCCACTCCTGCTGCACACAAACATCATCTGCAGGACAGAGATAATAATATCACAGGCCTACAATACAAGGATGATGGAAAGATGACAGAGATCATGTATGCAAAACACTTTGAACATCTGCTACAGCAGTCATTTTTAAAACTAATGTTTAACTATTCACCTGGTTGCCATATGTGATGAAAATCTAATTCCATGCAGGTGATCTCATGGAATTCCATGCAGGTGAGCAGGTGAGCTGACAGGAGGAGGGATGGCTCACATTGTTCCACCTTCAACTAGGAAAAGCTCCTTCCTCCACAACCTGCACCAAAACGAAGCACCCTAGCAAGATGATGACGATGACGACGATGAATAACAGGCTAGAAGCTGTTCTGGCCTCATACATACACAGAGCTAATATAATTAATATTACTACTCTGTCAGTCAATCCTCATATCCATGCAGATGTACCCAAGCATCACACTAGTCTCCCAGCCAAGGTAAGTTTGTCATCTTTCATTGTTTTGGGAATGAAAGAACAATGGTGTTCACATCTGGAAATTTCCCCGTCCAGCATGGATCCAAGCCCCTACCTGTCTTCCAGGTATCCACCCATCATGTCATGGCACACCAGTGTGCGGGGCCTGTGGTTGCCAAGCGGAGGCTGCCGTTTAGCCAGTGGCTCCGTGGACACATTGAAAGCGTCGTCGCTGGTGGGCTTCCAGGCAAGCAGCTCTTCCAAGCCTGAGAGGTAGAAGCTGATCGGCTCACTTGTCTTTATGTCATACTGCCGGGCTGGGAAGATGACAAGATGCTACCGTTACCATCTCACACTGACTGTAGGGTTGCAAGGGCATGCCATCCAACAGCAAGTCTTACCAGGGAGAGGATCAGGGGCAAAACTGACCACCCGGTGGAGAACAGAAGTTCTTCGGCTCTCCATATCAAGCTGCAAACTGAAAAGGGAAAGAAGATCAGAAAAGTAATCCTGTTTGGGAATTTTCTACGATTGCCTCCTCCAGTGCCTCTACACTAAAGAATAATTCTTTTAAAAGTAACCAGACCGAAATATTTATTTGTATACAGCCAGACAGGCTCGCCTGGCGCCTAAGTTATGGTCTTTTCCATGCCAGATTCTCCGTGCAGCCCAGGGATGGGCAGAACATTGACCACAAGGGACTGACTAAATGTGGGTCTGGAGGCCCCCCAGTAAAATTCCATGAAAAAAAGGCAGGGTGACTGCAAAAAGAAAGCCTCATCTGTAGTCTTTGCAATGGCTGCTCTGGTAGTAGAACAGGAAGAAATTGGGGTGAGGTCTTTCCAAGCAAAGAGGGCAACTCAGTTAGGACGACACCAGTGCAGCAGCTGGGATAGCCCTGGCAACATTCTGGTAAGACACGCAGGAGAATTTCTCCACTCCCGATCTCCGTCACAGTCCTGCTTCGGCATCAGAATTCTCTGCAGCTTAGCTGCTCCTGGGATGCACCAGCAAGCCTGTTTTCGAATCTGGAGACACCATATCTCCTGGGAAGCTTAAACGTAGCACAGCAGCTAGTGTTGGATTAGGCCTGGCAGTGGGTTAAACTGCTGAGCTGCTGGGATTGTTGATCGAAAAGTCAACAGTTCGAATCCACACACGGGGTGAGTTCTTGTGCTTCGTCCCAGCTCCTGCCAACCTTGCAGTTCGAAAGCACACAAATGCAAGTAGATAAAAAGGTACCACTTGGGTGGGAAGGTAACAGCACTCCGTGCACCTCGGTGTTTAGTCATGCTGGCCACATGACCACGGAAACTGTCTGCGGACAAATGCTGGCTCCCTCGGCTAGGAAACGGAGATGAGCACCGCCCCCAACAGTCAGACATGACTGGACTTTAATGTCATGGGGAAACCTTTACCTTTATAGTCCCCTACTCATCCATGAAGCTCACTAGGTAAATTTGGCCCAGTCACTGAGCCTTGGTCTGACCTACCTCACAGGGCTGTTGTGGGGATAAAAGGGAGAGGTGGAGCACCATAGGCACTTAAATGGGCACCTTGCGGGAACAGGCAGGAAATAACTGTAACTATAAGTCCCATGGAGTTCAATGAGTCTTGAACGGGGGCGTGTGCACACATAGATTGCACTGGGATCCCCCTGCCCCAGGCAGGGGCAGACCTTCCTCTGGTTGGGTGAGCCACACTGGGTGCGGCAGGGCGGCGCTCTGCCGGGTGCTCCCCCAGCCACAGGACGAGTCATTGCTGGCATCAGCTCAGCATCCTGTCAAGCAAGTGTTTCTTCCCCGCCACCTCTGATGCTAATAAGGCGGACGAGGCTGCCAAGCCACTGCCGAGTCCATTGACCCAGTTAGAAAACAAACTGAAAGATCCTGGATGCCAACCCGGGCACGGGACGGCCAAGCAGAAAAACTCCAGCCCAGGCCACGTTGTCCTTGACTTGCCCAGCTTGGAGCATCTCCATCTCCGGCTGTGGCTGGCTGCGTGGCAGAGGCATCCTGCCCGCCAAGTAATCTGCCTGTTCGCTGGTCCTATCAGGATTTAACTCAGGAATCCTGCAGGGGTCTCTCGGCGCCCGGGCTCAGCTATGGGCTGGGCGGGCGAGACTGGAGAAAAGCGATGCCTCGGGCACATGCGGAGGAACAGGATAAGCGCCAGCTGCCCCCAAGCGGCTCAGGGAAACCAATGTTGTTCTGTTTTCTCATGCAACTGCAGTTCGCCACCCAAAGAGCTTCGACAGGACGCAGCTCAGACCATGATTGGGCAGACTAGAAGGGAATTTTCTCATAGGCCGGACAGGGCAACCAAGCAGGCAATCAAGGCTGGCCTACTTTGAAAGGCCCTATCAAAGTGGGTGAAACTTGGGGACCCCACAGAGCCTCTTGCAGACCGTGGTGCTTTGCCAAGGTTCATCGGGTTACTCTTCGCTACCAGTCATGAGCGCAGCCCTGACTGGAACACTTGATTAATAAACACGAACAGGCTTTTCTGAGCATGTGCCGAGTGTCTTTCCCTCATCACGGAGTAACTGGCGATTTCGCGCATTAGGGCTTTCTCGGTCTTTCAGACGAGATGGACGTGCTTTGAAGGAAAAGGAGAAGGCTGCATCCTTTCTGTCCCCTCCCTGCCCCCACGTGCCCCCGGCAAGGTCCTCTCCAGTCTGTGGCTCGGGAGGATGGCGATCCCTCTGCGTCTCGCTCCGTCGCTGGCTCCCGGAGCGTCCTTACCCCAGGCCGGGCCTGAAGCGCCCCTTGGCCGGCCCCTGCGTTTCGCCTCCGCCATCACGACTCTCCTCCTCGGCCCGCTTGGCCCCTCTCCCCCCGCCGCCCTGCTCCCCTCCCTCCATTGCTCTTCGGCTCCTTCCTTCTCCGCCCCGTCACATGGAGGCCGGCGGGGGCGCGCTGCAGCCAATCCTTGCAGCGGCGGCTCCGCGCCATGAGGCGCACTGGCGGCAGCGCCGGGAAAGCGCAGTAACGGAGCGAGCCGAGGAAGCGCGTGGGAGCCGGCCGGATGGCCGGCCGTGCGTGAGCCATGCCTCGGCTTCTCTTTGCTTCCTCCCACGCTCCGACGCCGCGCCTCTGTCGAAAAACCTGCAGGGCTCAGGCTGAAGGTAATTGGTGGAAAGACGGCGAACTCACTTTGCGCGTTCTCAGAGGCATTCTCTTCAGCGTCACAGAACAGTTTCAGGAACAGGCCTGCCTGAACATAGGAGTGGGAGGGGTGCACCCTGTGTAAACAATTAAACTCGCATTGTCGGGGGCGCTTTTCCTTTTAGCGCCTGTTTCTTACTCGATCGAAGGTCTATGGGTCCAAATTTAGCCTCTGCTTTCAGGTTCGGCTTTGCTTTTCAGGAAGCCTTTCCAGGCGATTGTTTCCTACAGTCCTGTATAAGGTGAGGACAAAACCTTCCTCCAGAAGCGCACAACCGCCATGAGCGCAGTGCAGCAGCTTTAGGTGGCCACCTTTGGGCTGTCCAGGAATATGAACACCACATTCCTGTTTGCCTGGGCATGCAGGAGGACAAGCACCAGTAATGGACTGAAATGGGGTAGTCAGACCATGAGGTTGCCAGTGTTTATATCACACAGTTGCCTGATCCATACACCTTTGTGACGGTTACCACAGAAAATAAACTCATGCAACTGGAGCAGCGGCTTAAAAAATGTAGTAATACACTGAACCTTTTCTCTTGATAGATCAAAGCAAGATGTTGGATTCCTAGAGCCTCCCCACCTCCTTAGTGAAAAAAGGATGGTACACATGCTCCTTTTTATACTATTATACACTTATACTGAACTTTATAGAATGCAAATATACAAATTAAGGCACACTCTTAAATACAGGTTTCTGGAGGTTTGCTGGCAATAACCGCAATGTAGCAAGAGTCAAAGCAATACATACTGGGCAGAAGATACTTAGATTAGTTGCAAGTCAGACTGTGAGAGAGACAGTTCCTTCTCCAACCTGGCACCCTTCGGATGTTCTGGACTACAATCCCTGTCATCCATAGTCACTATAGCCATTAAATAATGGGAGTTGTCCAACACATCTAGATAGTGCCAGGTGGCAGAAAGCTGCATAGTAACATACCTTAAGGAGTCTACCTGGCCATGGCAAGATATGAAAATATTTGAGTCCGCAAATGTACAGCCAGTTACCACTAATTGGGAAATTGTTACTGGAAAACACAACACTTATGAAAAACTCAGCAGATGGGAAATAATTTAGAAGGGAAAAGGGAGAGAAACCCATGTTTCGCTAATAAATCAGACAAGACAGCAGATCAGAAAGGTTCTTCTTTGCTATCAGAAACAACACATGGTGCAAGGCCAGTGATGGACAGTGGCATGCAGAACCCAGCGGCTGGCCAGGCGAGGCTCAGGGCCCTCTGTCCCTGCACTGCATTGCACTGCAATTCCAGTTCCGCTCCCAAAAGTGCCATTCCATTCAAAAGGCTGACTTTCTGCTCGACGCTGTTGATTACAGCGTCAGCATATGCCAGGAGCTCTCTCTCCCCTGCACACCATCATTCCATTGTTCTTCCACCTTGGACACTATCATTCTGATTTCATTTCCCTCTGGATAGTGTTTCAGTCGGGAACTTGTCATTCTCCCCTTTCAAGACAATCATTACATTATTGCTCTGCTATAAGCAATTAATCACATTGTGCACCTTGGTGACCTCCATGCCATCCTGTTCCCAAATGACTCCTATGTTTATGTGTATGTGTTTCTCTTCAGTCATCTTAGCACTTTTATTCTTCTAGTTTAATATTCCCCTGGGTCCTTTGTACTCTGATATCCGTCCCTGTGATGCATCAGTTGCTTCTTGGATAGCCCAGCATGGGCAGTCTTTCTAATATCGCACCCACGCTATGATCCTTCAGAGTGCTTACCCATTTGCTTTAACCAGGCACCCAGTTATTAAATTGGCTAAGCCAATTTTACTAGATTTGGGGATGCCCCAATTTTACCACTGGGATTAAACCTACCCTAAAACATCCCAAGAAACTAGTACCTGCCAGTGCCCATTAACAGAGCAGAGCCCTGAAGTAACAGCAGTAGAATTCTGTACGCACAATTCTAGGCTATGCAAGTTTAGACAGGAAAAATGTCCTACAACTCCCAGCATTCCCTAGTTAGTTATGTTTGCTGTGGAGGGCTGAGAGCACAGGGCATTTTTTCTATCTAATCCTGACATAGGAGCTCATCCCTAAGAATCAAGGGAAGCAGGCATCTGACTGTGGGACGAAGCCACCACTTTGCCTGATCCTCAGTCTCTGTCATCTCATGTTTGGCCTTCCTTTTCTGCTTTCTACTTTCCCTAGTACAATTGTCTTCTGGGAGATTTGCTTTCTCATGATGTGCCAAAAGCTTCAGTTTTGTCAATTTGGCTTCATGGGAAAGCTCTGGCTTGATTTGATCTAGGACTCAGTTCATCTTTCTGTCAATCAAGGGTATTCACAAAGCTTTCCTCCAGCAGCATGTTTCAAATGCCTCCATTTTCTTCTCTGCTCAGCTTTCATAACCATTCATGGTGATTGGGAATACAGTGCGATGGATGATCCTGGCATTGGTCTCCAGTTAAACATCCTTACACTGGATCTTTTCGAGTTGCTTCATTGAAGTATTGTGTGTGTGGAGTGTGGAGCTTAACAAACATGCTCTGACATGCCCTAAGCAATGTGGGAGACAGCCTTCAAGATACCTGCTAGGTCTTCCATTGGTAGTCCCATCTTTTGGGACTCCTTGAGCAAGGCCACATGAATAGGCCCGTCCTCTTCAGTGTTGCCCTCTCACTTGTCCTCTCCCTCTGGGTCTAATCCACACAACTGCTTGGAGGGAAAATGGCAGAGAAGGGGAGATGGTGGTTTTATTTGCTTGCATGCCCCCAGAAGACAGGTGACCAAATGAAGAGGAGCAGCAAGGCCAGGAGACCTCAGAGAATGGCAGAGGGACCCCCTGGAGGAGTGGGGCTCTTGGCCATTGCCCATCAATGCCTACCCTGATACCAGCTCTCGGACGAACAGGTCAGCACCTTCAAAGCTCTCCTTCCTGGACCGGGGTGCCTTTGAAAGCATGGATGGGGCCAGCGGTCTGATGGCTCAGCCTGCACTTGAAGGTGAATGTGTAGATATGATCAGCTCTCAGCTACCAGATTTGCCCCTCTGCTATGAAAGATCCATTCTAGGAAGAAATAGCTAGTCAAATGACAAGGGTTTTCTCCTTCAGACCAACAGCCTGGTCTTCAGGAAGGCTAGTGCACTAGCATTGTCTGAAGACTGAAAACTGAAGAGGACATCATTCAAAAGACTTCCTTCCTGACCTATAGGAATTTGCCTGTGAAATTGACAGAATGGAAAGCTCCATTTCAGCTTGTTGTTGCTAGTCACGAAGTCATGTCCGACCCATTGCGACCCCATGGACAACACTCCTCCAGGCCTCCCTGTCCTCCACCATCCCCAGAGTCCACTTAAGCTCATGCTTCAGTGACTCCATCCAGCCACCTCATCCTCTGCCGCCCCCTTCTTCTTTTGCCATCTATTGTTCCCAGCATTAGGCTTCTCTCCAGGGAGTCCTTCCTTCTCATTAGGTGGCCAAATTAGGCCAAGTCAAACAAGGAATGCAGGAAGGAGCATTAGGCTGTCTAACGTTAGACAAACGTACCATTTACATGCATTTCTACCATTTAACCTTTAACTACCCAACTCCCTGACGCACATGTATTGTTGTGTCCATTCCCCATCGCTTTCAACCGTTGATTCGAAGAATTTTCCCTAGTGTATTTTGATACTGGCTTTGCAATGCTCGGCTGGAGGTTTTACCAAGTGGAACAACTCTGGATTCTAAGTCATCCCTCCAGACCTCCAGCTTGCCCCACCTTACGACCTGAAACCCACGTCCCTTCTTTGAAGAGGTGAATCAAAAGACTGCATCCCTAAGTCTGGCAGGCGGCTTCCAAAGCAGCCTCCGTAGGGGAACCTTTGAAACGGTGGTCGTAAGAGGAAACCAGGCCTCTGCAGCCCTTCATAGCACACCACCAAAGCATAGGCCCTTCTCCAGAGATGGAACCCATCCTCCTTGAGTTCTACCCAAGAGAGACTTTTAACAAAAGAAAGAAACACATGCTACTTAACCCGTTGTGGAGTGCGGTGCTGTCCCTCAGCCTTCTCTGTTCTTCTGACAGGAGAAGTTACACTTGCTCCTTCCAGACCTCCTTTTCCAGCCCTTCACCTCTTTTTGGCTGACTCTGCCAGCCACAGGCAGCCAGGAAGGGACTGAGCACTGACTGCTGCTGCTGCTCCTCCTCACATCATCGGCATGCACAGTGTGGCCACTTAAACTCTGTGAGTAGGTGGAGCACAGGGAAGGAGGAGAGAGCCGACAGCACCTTTCCAAATGCTGTCACTGCGCACCTTGCTTTACCTCCGGCTGCTGCATAAACAGCAGTGGAGCTAAAGCAACTTAGCATCTCCACCATGTTCATACGAATAAATCTTTCCTCACCTTCTTTTTGTTAAGCCCACATCACTCCCCAAGTCCTCCCTTGCTGGGCTCTAACAGAGCTTCATGTGGTTTGATCCTTGGGCCTTACTCTCTTGGCAAGGGGCTGTCTTATTTATGCACATTGCAATGTGCTGTGGACGTGGTTTGAAGTGGGTCAGATGCTCAGTGACATGCTCAACATACTGTCCTGATCATGAGGTAGAGATTATACTTCTATCTTCCCTTTCATGGAAGCTCACATAATTTTGCTCCTCTCAGTCTCATCTTCACAACAACCCTGAGA